TGACCTTCTTTCTGCCAGTTGCAAACATGCATTCCCTGTTGCAGACACAGTGTTTCCCCCCATTGCACAGATTTTCTCCTGTGACCTTCTTTCTGCCAGTTGCAAACATGCATTCCCTGTTGCAGACACAGTTTCCCCCATTGCACAGATTTTCCTGCTTTTCCCTAACTGTTCCCTGTAGTTATCACAGTCTTTCCCAGTAGTTATAACAAATGTTGCCATTGTCATCATCATGTTCATGCTGAGGTGCACAGGAAATCTTGTTCCTAAAATAAACATATATCCTTTAAATTCTTGATGAAATTGACTAGATACTGTCTCTCGTCACTTTTTTCTTTTAGCAGTACATTTTTGGGGGTTTTGTTATCAGTAAATTTTCTTCCTCAATACGTCTGTTCTCTTCCTTTATCAATCTCAGTTTCTAAAACCATTCATTTTGCTCATGGCTACAGATTTCTTCTTCCCTTTAGTTCCACAACTTTCTGCCATAGAGCTACGGTTTTATGCCAGTTTGAAATTTTACCAGGTCTCTGCTTTATTAGGTAGACTGACCAAAAGCCTTCCTGATCATCAATTTAGTTGAGCAAGGTCAGGAATTACTTTTGAGAATGTACATTAACTTAGTAGAACCAGAACGCTTTGACTCCGGTTGAATTTGAGATATGCCCTATTGGAGAGTTAATAGCCTAGAAAATAGATGTTCAATGCATGATAGATTACCATATTTGTTGGTGTATAAGATGCTCCTTTGTATAAGACGCACCCCAAAAATTGATGCAAAAATTGATGCAAAAAATGCTAATTTTTCTGATTCTAGCCATTTAAGACTAAGTTGTGCACACTTTTCTTTGTTCATATTGCTGAGAATCACAAAATCTTAAGGCTTTTCCCCTTCGGCTGAGGTATAATAACATTCTGCTGACCTATTGTCTTGTTATTCGGCATATGTCATCACAAAAACTTGTAGTGTAGGAATGCCGTTTATGCAGAGCATTTCAGTAAGATGCAGTCTAATTTTAACGTCCATTTTAGAATGTAAAAAGTGCGTCCGATACACTGACAGAAACGTTAATTTCTATCCTGTGGTTGAACTGTGCAGACATTCACATAAAGTTTTAGTACGGGATGAAGTGAGTTTTGATAGTTGTTGCGTGTGTTGTAGCATGTGTAAATTACAGAACTTGTTTGGATTGTATACCTTGCAGTAACAAATACCTCAGGCTCTCCCAGTGACCAGGAGAGAATCCATTTTATAGCAAATTCACCTATAGCACAACTGGACTCCAGCCAGCACAATTCTGTCTTAGCATGCCCTGATTTTGGCGATCATGGTAGGTGGTTGTGAAGTTGGGGCATACGGTTGAAATCTAGAGGGTGTATGTTTTGGTTTTGGTCAAGGATTGTTGTCCTTTCACGAGAATAGTTCCATAAGTTTTTTAGTTCCAGTAGATCATAAAAGGAGAATCAGCACTGTGCACAAAAATTACAGCATCATCTAGGATCCAGATTTTGTATAGATGTTAGATGTTAATATCTATAAATATTCAATGGTCACTAGGTTTTCTAATTAAGAAATCCAGACTGGGCTTCGGCCAGTTTGGACTTTAAAAAAAAGTTTTCCTTCTCCAGAGTTGTAGTCTGTAGGATTAACATCCTAGGGATAAAAATCCTGGTAGCTTGGTTCAACCCATGGCCATATAAGTAAAGTAAGTAAAGATACCTTATTACACCTAAGGCGCATCGGGTATATGGGCATCCCATATTTTTACAGACCAATCGGCACTGGATGGGTAATGTGGTCAGCATTACGCCGGCCGTCTTTAGTTCCCCAGGACAGCCATCCTGGTACCCATTTTAGGCTAGGTCGACCTGCGACGCCCCATACTATGATAAAAATCCACGCAGCCAGGAGTGGGTTTCGATCATGGTACGTTGGATTCGTAACGCCTAAGCCACGGACGCTGCCCATGGCCATATAGCACAGTTATATTGGGGCAGCACACAGTGGTTGCGAAGTAATGTGATGTTTTTGATTTCCAACTATCTAGGGATTTTTAAGATGGTCTAAATTTGTGTCATTGTCCAAGAAGGTTAAATTACCAGTTGCAGCCTGATTAAAAGTTCACCTTTTGTTTCCACTTCATTGTTGAATATCTTCCAGAACGTTTACACACTCCCCGTTGAATTAGTCTTTCAGTGTTTGGATTCCCTATCTGTTTTTTGTTGCAATGTCCATTTGATCCCATAGAACCTTCACCACATCTGCTTTATCATATAGTAGCTCATCATCCAGAGGAGCCGCAGCAGCTGATCTATCAGTCTGCTGGTTACCTCACACAGCTGAATATCCTGGACAGCCAGGGTTTCTATAATGAGCACCCTAAAAACAAAATCACGTTTGGCCTTTCATCAGGTTGGATCATTTTTTTGGAGTAACACAGTTTTAACCTTTGCTTTCTGATCCACTTTTCTTGCATGTTTCTTTTCTTAATAGTGAATTAGTAAAAATTAGTGACATGATTTGTTGGTAATGAAGCTTTCCCTTGAACAACTCAGCTTCTTCATGACCTTAATAGTTTGCCGGTAAGTGATACTCATGAGGCCTTGTCTGCTGGCTTTATCTTCATTGAGTGCAGTCACCTGCTTACATGCCAGGTTGTTGAACTGGGATAGTAGGATGACCAGATGACTCATGAGAGTGAGGTTTTCACCGTCATGCTGGATGCATGACCTTACCCAGAGAGATTTCAAGTGTATAGTGTATGTGGTGCCATTGAGCATGAGGTAGACCAATAACATAATGGAAAGAAAACATCAGAGAAACTGTTCATCTGCACAGTGTGTCTGGTCGGGATTGCCATAAAAGTAAGAAGCAGAACCTTATATCTCCCTCAACACCCGAAGTGATAAAAGAGGATGTGAAGGAGAATAAAGCTGGCCCATGTATACAAGGAAACATAAAGCAAGCAGAGGATAGTGGCACAGTAACCTGCTAAACATGTCATAAGAGATGTCTGAGAAAGGGTGGAAGCAAGTCAGTTACCTCATTCTGTCGATTATTTGGTGAGAAAATCACACAAACTCTGACCAAGTCTACAAGGGGGCTTGATGTAACTGAGGGTCTGAGCTTCATTGGGAGAGGAAGGATAGAAGCAGATGAATAAAACGAAGAAGTTGATGTTAAGAAAAAGAGGAAAAACAAGATTAAATAGAAGAAGAAGGAGGAGGAGAAGAAGGGGGTGAAGGAGGAGGAGGAGGTTGAGGAGAAAAAGAAGAAGAAGAAGAATTTATAAGGCAGTATTGCCCCCAGAGCTGTCTTGAGCTGGCTAGATCTCATTCACATTAGAGTGCAATCCCCAGCCACTGTTCGTTCTATAACACTACACTTCAACAATGCATGAAGGTTGTCCTGTGGCAGATATTGGGGTGTGAAGTCTGCTGCCTCACATATTTTAGGCTACAACTTTGAGTGGTCTGGTAGCCAGTTCTTTTCCTCTAGTAGTGGGATTACTTATCAGTGTAACATTTTCTTGTATGTCATTGTTTTTATGTGCCACCTGTATAAGCTACAGCATGACAAGATATCAGACCAGATGAAAAGTAGAACTAGCTAGCTTCACATTATCTGAAACATAAACAAGTGAATGAGAGAAATCACATACCTGTCTGGCCAGTTGAATCTCTGACAAGTGTGTGACCACCAGAAATAAATATAAGTTGGAAGAAGCTGTGACCAGCAAAGGGTCGTTACTGAGAAAATGTTAGACAAAACTGATAGTCAAGTCCTCTAGGTGGAAATGTAACAATGCATTGTGTGCACAACCTGTAGGGGCTAAAGCAGCAGTAGTTTGTCATAGAAATGAACAGTGTCTTCTTCATAGTTTATTTCTGTGCACAACCTGTAGGGGCTAAAGCGGCAATAGTATCTTGTGAAAATGTAACATATATTTGTGCGCAACCTGTAGGGGCTAAAGCGGCAATAGTATGTTGTGAAAATGTAACATATATTTGTGTGCAACCTGTAGGGGCTAAAGCGGCAATAGTATGTTGTGAAAATGTAACATATATTTGTGTGCAACCTGTAGGGGCTAAAGCGGCAATAGTATGTTGTGAAAATGTAACATATATTTGTGTGCAACCTGTAGGGGCTAAAGCGGCAATAGTATGTTGTGAAAATGTAACATATATTTGTGCACAACCTGTAGGGGCTAAAGCGGCAATAGTATGTTGTGAAAATGTAACATATATTTGTGCAACCTGTAGGGGCTATAGCGGCAATAGTATGTTGTGAAAATGTAACATATATTTGTGCACAACCTGTAGGGGCTATAGCGGCAATAGTATGTTGTGAAAATGTAACATATATTTGTGTGCAACCTGTAGGGGCTATAGCGGCAATAGTATGTTGTGAAAATGTAACATATATTTGTGCACAACCTGTAGGGGCTAAAGCGGCAATAGTATGTTGTGAAAATGTAACATATATTTGTGTGCAACCTGTAGGGGCTATAGCGGCAATAGTATGTTGTGAAAATGTAACATATATTTGTGTGCAACCTGTAGGGGCTAAAGCGGCAATAGTATCTTGTGAAAATGTAACATATATTTGTGTGCAACCTGTAGGGGCTAAAGCGGCAATAGTATGTTGTGAAAATGTAACATATATTTGTGTGCAACCTGTAGGGGCTAAAGCGGCAATAGTATGTTGTGAAAATGTAACATATATTTGTGTGCAACCTGTAGGGGCTAAAGCGGCAATAGTATGTTGTGAAAATGTAACATATATTTGTGTGCAACCTGTAGGGGCTAAAGCGGCAATAGTATCTTGTGAAAATGTAACATATATTTGTGTGCAACCTGCAGGCCATATTGTGTGTAACAGCATCTTGTGTGTAACGGCGTCTTGTATGTAACAGTGTCTTGTGTGTAACAGTGTATTGTATGTTAAATATTTCTGTGTACAACCTACAGGGGCTATAGCAGCAATAGAAGGTGTAGAAATGGCAGCAGCAACAACAGTTTGTACAGCAGAACTGAGCAGCGTGGCAGGTTCACAGTCAGAAGGCAGCTATGAGATCAGCTTCAGTACAGACAAGTCAGACTTGGAAGGAACATTGAGGAGTAAGTCTCTCTGTCTGCATTTCCCTCATTGTTTGAGAACAGATAGATCAAAGCTTGATGTGGATTTAAACCCTAGACCTTTTGGCAAACAAACTCTTTCTAGCCACTATACTGTCGGGGCTCCTGATTTACATTGAGCTCTACTGAACTGCCAAGAAGATGAGCATAATAGTGGCTTATCTTGAATGGATAGGCTGGTAAGAGCATTCCAAGCCTGTCTGTGGACATACAAGCTGGTGTTCATTACCTGGTTTTATTTCCGGAATCCAGCACTTGTGAGCATTGCCTCATCTTCTCTTTGTAAATATCTGTAATGTTTATTTACAGCTGTCTGTAAGGTGTGGTCTTGCTATATGTTTGTCTGTTGTAAAATCAACTTCTGTCTTTCTGCTCATTTAATTCCTAATACTGTTATTTTTTGATGCTGTCTTTCCTTGTCACGCTCATAATTTTTTGGAGACATTTAATCTCTCCTGTTACACTTTTACTGATGTCACATTTGGAGACGTTTCACCTCTTTTGTTACACATTTACTGATATCACATTCAGAATTCTTCAGAGGTATTTCACCTCTCTTGTTACACTTTTACTGATATCACATTCAGTTTTCTTTGGAGACATTTCATCTCTCTTGTTACACTTTTACTGATATCACATTCAGTTTTCTTTGGAGACATTTAATCTCTCTTGTTACACTTTTACTGATATCACATTCAGTTTTCTTTGGAGACATCTCATCACTCCTATTACACATTTGTTGATATCTTGTTGTTATTATCAATTTCCTGCATTAGCAGCATAATTCTTTTACCAAGGGGTGTCACTCTCAACATTGCAGGTTCACCAACTCCATCACGGTCATCCAACCACTCCACTCGGTCAAAGTCTGGTAGCCGCACACCGTCTCCAGCTTCCTTGTTTGTTTCCACGGACAATCATAAAGACGGGTCAACGCCAGATAGGGACTCGTTACATATAGATATTATAGGACCCGACGATAACACTAGCAGCAGAGGTGAGTGGCACTGTTGTCCTACTCTACATAGATATGTACAGTGTTGATTTTGTTTTCTGGTACAAAGTTGATTTTATTGACTGGTACAAATATGTGTACAAAGTTGATAATGTTGACTGGTACAAGAATGCATACAGTGCTGATTTTGTTTTCTCGTACAAAGATGTGTACAAAGTTGATTTTATCGACTGGTACAAAATTGTGTACAAAGTTGATTATGTTGACTGGTACAAGAATGCATACAGTGTTGTTTTTGTTTTCTGGTAAAAAGAAGTATACAACTTTGATTGTGTTTTTTAGTACACAAATGTGTACAGTGTTGATTTTGTTGATTGGTACACACATATGTAGGGTGTTGATTTTGTTGATTGGTACACACATATGTAGGGTGTTGATTTTGTTGATTGGTACACACATATGTAGGGTGTTGATTTTGTTGATTGAAACAAACATACGTAAGGTGTTGGTTTTGTTGATTGAAACAAACATACGTAAGGTGTTGGTTTTGTTGATTGAAACAAACATACGTAAGGTGTTGGTTTTGTTTACTGGTACAAAGTTGTGTGCAGTGTTAGTTTTGTCGACTGTTGTAGAGATGTGTGGAATATTGATGTAATAGATTGTTAGAGATACATGTGAAAAGATAATTTTGTTGACTTGTGTAGAGATGTGTGGAATGATTATGTAATAGATTGTTAGAGATGCATGTGAAGAGTTAATGTTGTCGACTGGTGGGCAGATGTGTTTATTGTTGATTTCATTGATTGGTAGACAGATGTGCAGATTGCTGATTTCCAGGTCTAGAAGTATCTGTGGATTCCCTGGATGAGCTAAAGAGTGTGATGGCTGGAGGCACTGTTCCTGGGTGGACTGCTGATGTTGCTGTAGTCTTATGGCAGCGGATGTTGGGCTGTCTGGGGGATGTCAACAAAATTGAGGACCCAGAGATTCATGCGGTTGTGTTTGATGCTCTAGCAGAGCTGCTGGACACACTTTGCAGGGTAAGGCTGGGCTGCATGGTTTGCACACACTTTTGTGGGGCAACATAGGCACACTTTGCAGGGTAAGACTGAGCTGCTTGGTTTACACACACTTTTTTAGTACAAAATAGGAACACTTTGCTGGAGAGTAGGCAGTCTTTGCTGAGGTATAGTTTACACACACTTTTGTGGGGCAACATAGGCACACTTTGCTAGAGAATAGGCAGTCTTTGCTGAGGTATAGTTTACACACACTTTTGTGGGGCAACATAGGCACACTTTGCTAGAAAATAGGCAGTCTTTGCTGAGGTATAGTTTACACATTTTCTGAAGTAGACAACATTTGCTGAGGTAAAATAGGCAGTCTTTGCTGAGGTATAGTTTACACATTTTCTGAAGTAGACATTATTTGCTGAGGTAAAGTAGGCAGTCTTTGCTGAGTTATAGTTAACACATTTTCTGAAGTAGACATTATTTGCTGAGGTAAAGTAGGCATACTGTTCAGGGTTAGGTTTTGGCACAATCTGCTGGATAAACAGGCACACATTGTTTGGTAAAGTAGCTGTAATTTACTGTGGGAAGTAGGCAGCTTTAATGTGCTAACGAATATATGTATTCCCGTTCCGTTCCCTCTGCCTACTTGAATGTCTATTTTAGACTCTTCCTGTTTTGTGTCTAGCTATTTCTCTATATACCTCTTTCCTTTTTTGCTCTCTCTCTCTCTCCCTCTCTCTCTCTCTCCCCCTCTCCTCTCTCTCCCCCTCTCTCTATCCCCCTTTCTCTCTCCCCCCTTTCTCTCTCTCCCCTCTCTCTCTGTCCCTCTCTCTGTCTCTCTCTCTCTGTCTCTCTCTCTGTCTCTCTCTCTCTGTCTGTCTCTCTCTCTGTCTGTCTGTCTCTCTGTCTCTCTCTTCATGTGTGTATGCGAATGTATGCGTCTGTGTCCTTGTGTATGTGTGCGAATATGCGTGTGTTCGTGCATATGTCCACGTGTATGTTTCAGTATGAATTGGTCTGTGTGTGTTTCTGTGTGTTTAAGTGTGCCTCTTTGTTGTGTATGTGTGTCTGCATGTGTGTGTGTGCGATTGGATACATGTGGCTGTGTATATGTGATTGTGTATATGAGTCTGTGTGTGTGTGTGTGTCTGTGTTTGTCTGCATGTGTGTGTCTTGGTTTTTTTCTGCATATTTGATGTGACTGTGTGTATATCTTCGTGTGTGTCTGTGTGTGTCCCCGTATGTGTTTGTCTGCATGTTTGCCTGTGTATGTTATGTGTGTTTGTCTGCGGGTGTGTCTATGAGGCTGTATGTATGTATCTCTGTGTGTGGGTGTCTGTATATCTGTCCGCGTGAGTGTATGTGTCAGCATGTGTCTATCTGTGTGTGCATGTCTATGTGTGTTTCTCTGTGTGTATTGTGTGTGCCCCTTTGTTGTGTGTATGTGTCTGCATGTCAGAGTATATGTCTGTGCATGCTGTATAAATATGTGTCTGTGTGTGTATTTCTGCGTGTTTGTCTGTGTGGGTGTCAGTATGTGTTTGTCTGCCTGTTTGTCTGTATTTTTGTGTGTGTGTTTGACTGCGTGTGTCTCTATGTGGCTGTATGTATGTGTCTGCATGTTTGTCTGCGTATGTGTGTGTGTCTCAGTGTGTGAGCATGAATGTATATATGTCTGCTGTGTGTTTCCCTGTGTGTGTTTATATGTAAGTGTGTGTGTGTGTGTCTGTATTTTTGTCTGAGTGAGTGTGTGTGTCTCTGGGAGTGTCCGTGTGTGCATGTGGGTGTCTCCATGCATGACTGTATGTATGCCTGTATTTATGACTGTATGTATATATGTATGTTTGTATGTGTGTATGCCTGTATTATATATGCATGAATGTTTGTGTGTGTGTGTGTGTGTGTGCGTGCACACATGTGTGTGTGTGTGTTTGTTTGTGTGTGTGTATGTATGTATGCCTGTATGTATGTAATGTATGCATGCATGTATGTATGTGTGTGTGAGTGGGTGAGCGTGTGTATGTAGGTGTATGTATGTATATGAGTGTGTGCATGCACACGCAGGTTTTTGCATGTACTTTTACAACTCATGCTTTTGTGTTCTTTTATAATATTCATAATATGCATATCATCATATGATCATAACATGCTTTATTAGTAAAATACAACTACTGTACGAAAGATGGTTGACTGGAAGGGCCGAATGTAAAATGGGCCTGCGTGCCCAATTAGTGACCCTTTGGGTCCCCTCTCTCTCTCTCTCCCCTCTCTCTCTCCCCCCCTCTCTCTCTCTCTCTATCCCTCTCTCTCTCTCTGTCTGTCTCTCTCTCCTCCCTCTCCCTCTCTCCCCTCTCCCTTCCCCCCTCCCTGTCTCTCTCTCTCTCTCTCTCTCTCTCTCTCTCTCTCTCCCCTCTCTCTCTCTCCCTCTCTCCCCTCTCCCTCCCCCCTCTCTCTCTCTCTCTCTCTCTCTCTCTCTCAGGCTACAGCAACATAGAGGGAATTTACAGTATCAACACAGCATTAAATATCAGTCAGATATATAGTGAGGTAGGGACTGTTTGTTTTGTTTACTGTATGATCATTGGCTGGTGTTATTTGTTTTTTCATTGGTTTTTTGTTGTTCTTGGTTGTTGTTACTTATATTTTCATTGGTTGTTTTTGTGTTAATTCTTTATGTTTGATGCCATGAATCTTCCCTTTCACAGATGAGCGATAACTTGGGTGTGGTGCAGGATAGTGCTTCCTTACCTCCTCCAGAACTGATACCTCCTGTACATTACTTCTCCTCTTGGCTGTTTGAGGTCAGTTTTCTATTTGCATATTTGGTTGTATTAGAGTATTTTGTATTTTATTTTCAGAGAAGAGAGTGAACTTCTATTTACATGTGACAAGCTGTACAACTAGAAAGAGAATTGCTTCCACATATTGGGTCCAAGAATAGCTACAAAGTTTGGCAAAAAGCAGGATGTATGGAATAGAACTGTTGTCTCACTTCACAAAACTATTACTCAGGGTCTGTAAGTACTTATTTGTCACTCCTATGCTCCAAATTATTCGGATTCTGCGGAGATATAGTTTTATAGATCAATAATGAGAACACCATGGACAGATCAAAATGATTAATGAAGATGTCTTGAAAGAAATGAAAAGAACTGATTGCCCATATCAGGAGACTGTATTCTTTTATCCTTTCATTAGAAGGAGAAATTTGACAAAATGGACTCCCTTGTTCAGAAAACACAGCAATGACCGCTGCTATAATTTGTCTGGCTTTACACTTTTGACATAATGTAGCTGAAGTGAGATACAATCTAACAAATATTTTATATATTTTTATTTATTCTGTTGTATGTTCACATGTATTTATTCTATTGTATGTTCACACATGTTTATTCTGTTGTATGTTCACATGTGTTTATTCTGTTGTATGTTCACACGTAAGGTTTTTACCTGATGCTTTCAGTGTTTATCTCTTGGCAACAAGTACAAGAGAGGGAAGCTCATGGCGTATCAGCTGATCTGCCAGTCCATGCTGCGCCGACATGAGGTCATGCCCTCGCAGCAACTGCTGTCGCAGTTTTATCTTGTGTTACATACAGGACTAGCCTCCTCTGACCAGGTAGGGCTTGGTGATAGTGAATAGAACAGATTTTGACTAGCAGTGATTTGACTATGTATCTGGTGGCCGTCTAGTCAGTACAGGATCTGTTTGGATGAAATCCTGCCTGTCGCCCCTTAGCTGTTTTTAGTCTTCCAAAATAATCCTTCTGAAATATTTCTCTAAGAACTGACAGCAACATAATTCCACCTTAGTTTTCATACGCCCGCAGATCACCCTTTGGGGGGAGGGGGGCAGTTTTACCAGATATTTGTCTCTCTAATCTGCTGGTATTTCTTTGGTCTCCCAGACTTTACTGATTTTACTGAATAATTTTTGTTGCAATTCTGTAGATGGATTTATACTTACTTACTTAGTCGCTCCTCTTCTACCTTGGGGTGTAGAGGTTTGCCAGAGAGATCGCCAGACGTCTCTATCAGCAGTTTTCTTTCTGGCTTTGTTCCTTTCCAGTCCTCTGTCAGTTAGGGACTGTCGGATGTTGTCTTTCTAGCGCTCCCTGGGTCGCCCCGGAGGTCTGGTTCCCTGGTCTTTGCCTCCCATTCTTGCCATGGTGGCCGATTTTCTCTCATTCTGCATACATGTCCAAACCATCGTAACTGTGACTAATCCACTCGGGTTTGTAAGGACTGGGTATCAAGATCCTGACGTATTGTCTGATTGCAGACTTTGTCCCTTCTTGTCACTTAGGCCACCTTTTTCAGATATCTCATTTCTGTGGCCTGAAGCTGACTTATGTGAGCTATTGTCACTGCCCATGACTCACACCTATAGGTCAGGACTGGTACATAAATAGAGAGGTAAACAGCCATTTTCGTCCTCTTGCCAATTTCTCTTTTGCTAAGAAACCCTCAGTTTATGGCCTGGAAGAGTCTCGCAGCAGCTGCTTTTGGTGTAGCCAGCTCAGTCTTAATTTCGGTTTAATACAACTCCAAGGAATTTGAACTGGTTGACCTGCTCCAATGCACACTGTCCCATAATGATCTGGTTTCTTCTCCTCTCTTGAGATCAACATGGTTTTAGTTAGATGGATTTATATTGACCCTAATAACTTCTTCTGGGATATCATCTGGCCCTGCAGCTTTCCTTTCTTTTACCATTACCGTAACTTTTCTTTCCTATCTCACTGGCCTGGGTCACTTTGTGTTATCACTCCGTAATAACAAGTAAGGGTGCAGTGATCAGTTTTTATGGCGTGGATGGAGATTATGACAAGCTTTACCAAAAAGCTTAAAGTTATTTTGTTCTCAATTATACAGGTGTCATTTTTCTCCATGTTTGTTGTATAACTGATGAAGGTTTTCATGTTTAAGGAAAAATATTTTTTTCTATTTTTTTAAAATATTTATCAGCAGTCTAGTTTTACTTCTCACTGAGATTGTTTCAGAAAAAAAAATTGATATTTGGCATTATGTTTGTGAGTGGGGTTTAAATGACATAACATATTAACACACAGGAGTCACCAGTGCCATAGACCTGGTCTGTGTTCTTGCCCCGCCGAAGAATCTATCTTGTCAGAGATCAAGTCTGTGTTCTTGCCCCACTGAAATATTTGTCTCATTGGCTCTACAGGATGTAGTCAATGTTTTAGTCAGAGACTGTGGGTCCAAGTTTTTCAGCACATCATTGCCAGGTTGTCTGCTGCTGACTTTAGACTTTATCAGAGCTGCTGGCAGTATTATTTCTGCCGTGGATTGCAAAGAGGTGAGTTGTTGTTCTTTTGTGGCTGGTTGTGAAAAGTGTATTGACTCCCATGCTGTTAGACAGATTTGTGATGGTAATTAGTTCAGAGAATGCTGACCTATTTGTGACAGTAATGATGAGATAGATGACTGCTGGCATATTTCTGACAGTAATGTTGGGATAAATAGCTGACCTATTTGTGACAGTAATGTTGAGTTTGATGACTGCTGACATTTTTGTGATAGTAATGTTGAGATTGATGACCTGCCGACATTTGTGACAGTATTGTTGAGTTAAATAGCTGACATATTTGTGACTGTAATGTTGAGATTGATGACTGCCGACATATTTGTGACAGTAATGTTGAGATTGATGACTGCTGACATATTTGTGACTGTAATGTTGAGATTGATGACTGCTGACATATTTGTGACTGTAATGTTGAGATTGATGACTGCTGACATATTTGTGACTGTAATGTTGAGATTGATGACTGCTGACATATTTGTGACTGTAATGTTGAGATTGATGACTGCTGACATATTTGTAACTGTAATGTTGAGATTAATGACTGCTGACATATTTGTGACTGTAATGTTGAGATTGATGACTGCTGACATATTTGTGACAGTAATGTTGAGATTGATGACTGCTGACATATTTGTGACAGTAATGTTGAGATTGATGACTGCTGACATATTTGTGACTGTAATGTTGGGATAAATACTCTGATATATTTGACACAGCAGCCTCGGATATATTTGCAGCAGTAATATTGAGTTAATCTGACATGTTTGCAGCCCCCTCGAGCTGAGGCTGTGACTGTGTTGGGGTCATTGTTGTGTTACCCTTACCACATACAAGAATTCCCGGCACTGGAACCAGAAACCACAAGAACCTTTAACCTTCCATCGACACATCTGAAGGATATGGTTATCAATGAACTGCTGAAAGCGGGCGAAAAGGGAGCCTGCAGGCCTGGCAAGGTAATGGGAAGTGGGGCGAGGGAGGGGTGGTCTCGAATACTGAGCGAATCTTCCTGATCTTTTTCTTTGAAATAAATATATGATACTGCATGTTTCTGACATGAGCTGTGATAGGTTCTTTATTAACTGACTTTTCAGAGAAATCACCTTTTTAAGTTTCCGTCTCAGTATTTCATTTATTTGGCTTCTGGTTCAAAATCAAGGATGGGCAGACTATTAAAGCCTTTGAGTGTCGTTTCTTTTGGCCACAGTACTTTTTACATATTTTTCCCCATTTCTGTAATGAAAGTTTATGTTTTCGTTGTCCAGAGTTGAGTGCATGGTGAGACAATGTGAGCTGCAGATTTCATATGGAACACTTTTCGACTGTGCCCAATTAACTGTATGCTGCATATTTGTCTAGAAAATGGCAGGTGGGCTATTGCTAAATAACTGGTTACACCTTATGCAGTAATACAAGTGCAACAGCTGATTTGTTGCAACTTCGGCTTACGTCAGTGATGATGATGATGCACAACAATACTAGAGGTGGATGGACTGTTACTGTTAGTGGTTTGTTTATTTAATGCATGCGTATCTCTCCCCCCCCCTTTTGGGGGGGGTTGGGGGTGGGGGGGGGGGGTGCCCTTTAACCAGAGCATTAGCCCTCAACTGACAGCAGGTGGTTCTATCCTTGGCTGTTGCAGGCAGCTGACCTCATGTCCTTCCCTGTCAACTCATCGGCTTCATTCTCTGGCTCCCTTCTCCGTGTGCTTTTTGGTCTGTCTTTATTTCTATGCTGTCAATTTTTTTCTTAATAGGAGATAGTGATAGTCTTCCTGTGTGGCTTTTGCTGGTACAGAGGTGGAGCGGATGATTTGTTTACTACGATGTTGAAGCTGTGACTAACTTCCTTAACTGGCACTTCAAAGAAAAGTATTCTTGTGAACTGATTTTTCTGTAAAAGTATTTGTTTATGTCTCATGTTGTTTGAAGCTACTACTGTTGTTATTTTGTTGTTGTTCTTGTCGACTTCCTTGCCCATTGGTCCGATCCAATCATGTCTTAGCTTTATAACATATCTTCATTAACTTACTGTCACTTAGGAAAATGTTCCTGTATATTTTATGCACCAGTTTATTATAATAGAAAAACTACTGAAAGTGATTTTATGTTGTGTTTAGGGCGAAAACCTGCACGAAAGTGTTAAACTTGCGGGAAAACCTGCAAAGTGTTTTTTATTTTTTTTGTTTAGAGGGGAAAACCTGCACGAAAGTGTTTTTATTTTGTGTCTTGTGGAAAAAAACTAATTTTATGTTGTTTTTAGGTGAGAAAAACTGACTGAAAGTGATTTTATATTGGTTAAGTTACTGAGCAGTTTTCACTATGTTGTATTCTGAAAACAAAACAAAAAGTGATCTTGTATTGAGTTTAGGCACACTAGATTGTTACATGAAACAAAAAAATGACTAAATAAAGTGTCTTGTGTCTAGGTGCTGTGCAGTTTGCAGTGTTGCAATATTTCTCTACTGTGAACTGCACCATGGGACATTGCATCCCAAGATCAAGGAGGCCATCAACGTCTTGCTGGGAGCTCTCACGGTAATTATCTGTCTCTGGATTATTCTTTTACCGTTTTAATGTGCAAACTGGCAGTGGATTTATTACTGCTGGAAAGAGTAAGAGATATAAAGGAGATGGAAAGATATGTTCAGATAAGGTCTACACCTAGACAATAAGTTTTACGGTCGAGATGGCCAGAAGAGTAGTAACCAGAACCTGATATTTGCTCGACACAGAAAGTGGTACAAGAAGAAATGAAGAAGTCTGCAGAAAGTGACAGGACGTGTATTTTAAAGACATGGATGTTATTTTATTAGTGCCTTTAATCCTGTAATTATTATTTTAGGGATGTTTTTGATCATATGACAGATAGAAGGAAAGATAATGAACAAAAATGGCTGAATGGGTGGAACAAATGAGGAAGGGAAGGGGACTTTGAAATAACATTAACCTAGAGTTTTACATTTTTGAGTTGAATTTCTGGTTATATTTCAGTGTATTAACAAGAAAGTAGCTAAAGTGGCAACTGATATGCTGCAGTTGTTATGTGACCACATGGACAGACTTTTAGAGTATCACCCACAGATGCCAAAGAAAATTACAGAGGCAAGTCTTTCAATTGTTTTAACGGCAAACATGCAAACAAGTAAACCTGCTTGTTCTCTCTCACCTATAGATTTTTGTTATTGTTACAATACTTCCCAGTTTTTGCTTTCCAGATTTCCATACTGTGTCTTGAAATTGTTTATAAATTATTATTTAGCTTATACTCTGTTGTGGTAATCATTTTGTATGAATCTGTGATGATGTTTGTCATGATCCATATACATTATATCCCTTTGATGGATCATCCCCTATGTGGGTTCTGGTCCGCATTTTGGGGTGAACAAGACCCACTGCACCCCCCACCAACCCCAACCATCATGTTGTAAAAGGTAGCTAATTAGGGGTCTTACTGAAATGGGATGCGTTGGGCCAAAAGGCACATATATTGCAGCCTAGCTGTAAAACAACCCCACAGCATGCCAACCACCCTTTTAAAAGGAGCAATACTTAAGATGTAGAAGAAGAAAACAACAACAGCAGCAGCAGCAGAAGAAGAAGAAGAATGATAAACACATGTGATGTAGCTGTTGAGATATGAGATACTGCAGGGTTGGGCTTAAAGCAGCAGTGAGGGTATGGTTTAGTTGATTGGCCATGAGTGTTTAGAAAACCCCACGGATATTTGAATTAAAAAACTGAGAAGTCAATGCATTTAAACATGCGCAGCAGCCTGTTAGCTTTTATTTCCATTGTTATTTTCAGGCTATTGCATCCACAATATCCGCCCTAGTCTCTACCCATGGTGCTGCCAACTCTGACGAAGACAAAAGGGTAATTGTTTCAGCTGTCCCATTTTTCTTTGATGTCTGTCTGACTGTCGTTTCTCTCTGGGCTGCTGCCTGAAGCTTTGATGATTCCTGAGGCTTCATATCCATCTTGGATGGTAGACCCGCCCGGCATATCCCCGATACCCAGTTCAGCCACAAAAGAATTTATAATTGGGGCACTTCTAATGACCATACCAATATGGTGTAACCTGCAGTGCCTTGTAGGTACATCAAGTATATGAAATAAGACCTTTGTTGTACATTTTTTAAAATAAACATTTTGTATGTAGGAGTTGTGGTTACTTGGTAGTTATGCAACTTTTGGTGCCACATTAGCTAGAATACAGACTCACCTTGCAGTAGTATAGGGCTCAGTCTCCAGTAGAGGTAGGATTTATTTTGAATTATACAGCATCCTCCCTGTGTGTTACTGGGGCCTTGAAAAAAAAAAACGGTAGCTGTACGACCTGGCTATCATGTTGTAAGTGGGTGCAGAGCAGGTTTGTGCTTGTTGGGGGTCCTTGAGGAAAGTCAGAAACAGCCACAGTACAACCTGGCAATCATGTTGTAAGTGGTGGCTGAGCAGGTTTGTGCTTGTTGGGGGTCCTTGAGGAAAGCCAGAAACAGCCACAGTACAACCTGGCAAGGGAGTTGCTGTAGCATAGCTGTTAGACACCTTTCTACCAGTCAACTTTTCTTGGATTCAAAAAAGTCAGCTCTGCCAGGACTCGAACCCCTGACCTTCCATTCTACGATCATGTAACTGCTACACCACGATGGCCCCCAAGGAAGAAATAGAGCGTCAACTTTTCTGAATCATCTTAGTAAGTTTGTACTTTGCACTGCTTCAGGGGAGAGACCTGCATTCACAGAAAAACAAAATCGTGGCCAATGCCTCTAAGAACTTCAATTTTGCTTTCTGGGCTTGAGATTATGTTCCAGATTTAAATGACCAGTAGTTTTACCTCTCGACAGAAGGGTTACCAGGGCCCATAACTGAAGCTAAGAATGTGAGCTGACTATGGATTTTACTGTGCTCCTGACAGGTGCACAAATAAGAGGAATGTCTGGACACTGGCTTTTGTCAACCATTATAAGACAAATAGAAGACTTGAGGGTGTTAAGGGGAGCTGCCATAGTTTAGTGGCTAGATGTTCGCCTAGAGTCGTGAGTTCAAACCCGAACAAAGCCATACTTTTTTCCTTCCCAAAATGACCGAGGCTCTCAGGTCGACCCAACTTTAAATGGGTACCAGGTAACGTCCTGAAAGTCAAGGTGGCCGGCGTGATGTTGACCACATCACCCCACTGACTGCCGAGTGGTCTATAAAATATAGGTCTAGCCCTGTATGCCCAGGATGACGATCTAAAATGCATACTATAAGAGACCGCTAAGGAGAGTTGGTGTGAGACTGACTACCTCCTCCCGTAGTGTACTCGCTGCAAAACAGCTCTTTTTTTTCTTTATTGCGTTCACTGGCTGTAAACTCCGGCAGAATGTTCTGGTTGTTCGTCTTCTTCTGAACTTTAATCTTCGTCCAGAATTTGAGTTTTTTGTGTGTGTCCATTTGACAGATCTGGCTCGTTAATAAGCAGACTGTTGGTTCCTTGCGTCTAACATAGATCCACTCCAACTTCAAAGGAAACACCCCTAATGAGTCCCCTAATGAGACTTTAACATCATACTTTTAAAGGGGCAATGGGTGTATTCTTGTTAACCACAGAATAGGGCCCCAGAGCTCACACAGGAAAAACTGTTGAAAGGCAGAAGAAGGATAAGACTTTGATCACTTGACCATTCTGATTGTACTGTATAAACAGATTGCATTTATTACTGTTAGATTTACTGATTGACTGAAGTTGCTTCACCATATTGAATGAACAAAGCTCACATTTTGTTGTTGTCCATCTATCTGGTTTTTACTCCTACACTGCTATCGATTTTGTTGTGCTGTTGATTTTGTTGTTGTAAAATACAAGGACTATTCGGACTAAGCATTCTGCTTGAATCACACTATGAATTTCACAACTGGCGGGACACACAGTGACAGTGTCTATGTTTATGAATCATTGAACAAATACAATTGTAGCTTGATGTGTACTGAGATAAAAGGCTACTGAATGATGTAAGTAATGAATAGTGTTGCTGTGGCAAATGGTTGATTTTTACCAGCCAGTTGAAGGTTGATTTTGGAATAGCTCTCATAGATTTATTATTTTGTTTTGTGCATTCTTAATGATATACTGAGTTTCTGATTGACCAGTTGATTGTGTCAATGATGTTTACAATGGTGGAGTGGTGCCTGCAGATGCCAATGTCTCTCTTAATCGAAACCACAGACACTGATAAAAGCTGCATCTACAAAGTTTTTAGAGTGAGTAATACATGTGTATGTATTTGCATAATAATAATTCTAATAATATATAGTGGAAGAAACTAGGACAGAAAGGATTGCTCTCAGATACCAAGGGCTTCCAAAAGAAAGCCTTTAATGTGTTATAGAAATCACAATAACCATCTCATTACTTTGTAACCTGTCAGTATTGTTGTTAAGGATGTCAGGAGTGTTAAGCATGTGACATCACAATGGAGACATAGTGACAGTTTAAAAATGGGTGCCCACTTTTGACATGCACCAAAGAGGAGCAGCGTTCTGTTATCAGTTATTGAATTAGTGAAGGCAGTGAAACCTATAACAATTCATCAGCAAATGAAGTTTCAGTATAGTGAGGCATGCGTGTCAGTCCAGCAAGTGTGTGAGTGGAGAGGAGGTTTCAGGCGACTTCTGTGACAGACTCTGCAACGACCAGGTCAGACACACTGAATAGTGACCCCAGAGTCAACTGCAGTCATTTAAGGCAATGTACACTAAAACTGCTGATTGACTGAGTGACATTGCTGCACATCTTGACATCAGTCAAAGTTCAGCACACCACATCAGCCCCAATGTGCTACAGTACTGCAAAGTGTCCGCAAGGTGGGTGCCGTAGCAGCTTACTCCAGAGTTGAAACAATAACATATTGATGCTTGTTAAGAACTTTTGCGGCACTTTGAAGCAGAAGGCGATGGTTTCCTATCAAGAACTGTTACTGGAGATGAAACCTGTGTTCACAGTTCTTTGTAGGTAACAATCACCTTCTGCTTCAAAGCACTGCAAAAGCTTTTGACAAGACATGAAAACATTGATTAAGAATGTCTTATGCTGCATATTTTTACACACATACTGTTGAGTTGTTATTCATTGTGATCCGCTTCTATGCTCCACAGGTGCTTCACTCTGCTGTGACTGGCCATAGCTCATCTTCCTTGACTAGAGTCAGCAAGTCACTCTCAGACTTTCTCCTGGAAACAGATTTCACAAACATCTGGGAAACACAGGGCGGCTCTGCATCGCCTTGGTCTACTGTGACAACACAGAGGCCCTTCAGCGCCAATGCCACCCTGGCAGATGCGGTGACTGATCCGAGCCGACTGACGTCTTCCAAGCAACTGGAACAGGGTCGCAAGCCAGAGACTGATATTGTAAAATTGGCAGCTAGAGCTGTAAGTCTGTCCCTACATGAGCTGTTTTTTTTATGTCTGTCTGTGCATGAGCTGTTTATATGTGTGTGTCTCTATGTGTGCAGTTTATACAAGCCTGTGTCTGCAAACATTTCTGATTTATGTCTGTCTCTTCATAAGCTTTTTTTTAAATTCTGTCTCTGCATGTGCCATAATGAGCCGAATTAGCTAAGCTGAGCAGAGATGTCAGAGAAAAGCACTGATAGGCTGATGTAATGAGCAGTAGGCAGATCTTGAGTGACCATTGACCAAGACAGGGACTCCCAAATTAATTAGTACAAAAGGTTGTGAGAATAAGTGGCAGGTGCCCCAGGTTGACTATGAGGGTGCGAAAAGAAATTGGAATCATGAGCAGTGGGAATTTTGTTAAAAGCCAAACACCTGATGTGTTAGGAAGAAAAAAAATCAAAGGGTAGAGGCTAGAGGGCAGTCTGTGATTGAGGACCTCAAGTAGGCTTGTCAGAACATGTGTTCTAGGACTGTATCAGAGTGTATCATCCCTGTCACCACCTCTGATCGACTTTGCTAGTGCGTGGGCCTGTTTTAGACAATCTATTCTAAACACACTAAACCGAACACTTCCGGAAGCAAACACAACAATCTTTAATGAATCATCACAGAACAACATATGACAGTTGATGTTGAAAGATGTAGGCACCCTTATCTGAGATGCCTGGTCATGCTGACTTTACTAATCGCCAAGCACGCTTCCCATCCCCCATGGATAATTCTCAGGTTCCCCCAGCACTGCTCACTCAGAACTCTTATTCAAATGTGCCTGGACCTCACCAGGATTGCGCAGTGCCCACAAAATGTAGGGTCAGTATGCCAGCAAGATAACATAACCATATCCATTCCAAAATCAAACCTAATTATCTGAATACCTCAGCACTACTCACGGAAGACTGTACAACAAAAACACCTGTCACTATTGGACGCTACACACCACAAAGAAGCTATGCTATCCTAACTGCTAAGTTCTAACTATCAAACTATCTTATGTTCTTCTGTCCGTTGTCTGAAGAATGAATTGTTTTTGTCTCACACTTCGTGACTTTTGTCATGGTCCGTTCGCTCAGTCAGGACCATGCAGCAATTGTGGTTCCGCCAGAAAAGCATTCACTTTTTCGGCATTTACTTGCCTTTACAACTAGGTTGAATTGAGCTGTAGTTTCCCTTGGCTATTCTAGCATATACCTGTGCAGTCATGCTTCCACCATGCGGACCTGTCCATCAACTCTTCATCATGCCCATACACACTGTACACCGTCTCTGTGGTATGCCCCGCCACATGACTGTACAGGGTTCCGATAATCCCCTAACACAGGCCTTCAACCAGCTGACATCAGGTTTTCCTTTCCTTACGTGTGAAATGACAGAAACAATGAAGTTTCGTTAATAAAACAAGTTATCTCAGCAAGAAATCTCTCACCAAAGTTTTTTTCCCCATCCAGCTGATGACTCATCTGGTCAACCACTTGTCCCACTTCCCCATGGGATCAGGAGCTGCCCGGCTCCACACCACTGTCCAGGAACATCATGACCTGCCAGATTACTTCGATGACGACCTGAAGCCAGAGATTTTCAGTGCCCCTAATGTGCAGGTTTGACTGTTATTTTCTGACACATTTTATTGGCCATTTAATGTTGCCATTGTTTTTCTTCTTTTTTTCTGTATTTGCCTTCAAAAGAATGGCTGGCAGATTGTATTGTGGTTTACAGCTAGACTGTGATATCTGCACATTTTGGCCTAACACAACTGATTTCAGTATATCCTTAGTTAGTCACTTGCAAATTCTAGAGTTGATTTTGCAACGTTCTGTAAAGGTTGCACAACTAAACAGTTTTTTGTTGACATGTTTGTTAAGAGACATTTAACTGTACCAAAATGGAGTCCTAGAATCCACACATGGATACTGATCTGACTGACCCTTTGGCGTCTTGACCTTTGCCCCTTCGCATAGTGCTGCACATTAGTATTTCTGTCATTGGTATTGAGTTCCTTCAGTTCTATGCAGGTACCAGTTAGTCAGTGTCTCAAGTTTTCAATAATGCAGATATAAACAGTTACATGATAGTTTATAAAAACAATACATGATACAGTTTATATAAACAATACATGATACAGTGTATTGACTGGTACCTTTCTCATCAGATGCATTACTGCCGAGTTTACATCAGCCTACAAATGAAACACAAAAAGGAATCCTTGTCACTGAAATACACAAACCACATTGTTTTTCTCCAGTGGCACATTCTGTCTCACCACCAAGAATTTCTAGACTGGCCACATAAATACCACGGAATATTTTTTGTAGTTTACAAGTAATTCTTTTTATCAGTCTGTATATTTTTACACAATAAATTAATACTCATTTGATGTAAATGTCAAATATTCTAACTTTGATACTAAGTCTAATTTCTGTTATCTTCCAGATTTTCTGGTTCTGTGAAAGAACCTCTTGTGTGTACTTTTGTGTGTGTTTACAGATTTCAGTCTGATTCCGTAACCTGCAAGGGAGGGGAGCTAACCTCATGCCAAACCCCACTCCTTGTTTCACCTAGGCTTGGTACTGGCAAATGTGGAGATATCATGCAGATATAGTTTATACATTTGTTATAGATTGTTTCTTGTATTTTTTAATCTCAGTATTATGGACATTATTTTTGTTTCATTTAATTCATTCTCTTTCATATTTCAGTTTTTTGTCTTGAATCGCCGCTGCCTGATCTCATTCATTGAGCTTCCGGCTGTGGTAAGTTTCGCCATGTACAGATCAGAAGATACAATGAGAACATAACTGTGCTCCAGGAGTAACTTACTTGAGGTTCTTACTTGAGGTTCTTAAACTTTAATTGGGAGTGATCTGCAGGCCAGTTGCTTGGCTTTTGGGGGTCACATGTAGCCCCCGGGCCACCAGTTGAATAGCCCTGCATTTGGAATATCTAGGCTCTATAATAAACAGCGGTAGAGACTGTTCAACAGCAGTTAAAAAGAGAATAGCCATAGCAATACAAAGATTGTCTGTAATTAAGCACCAGCAAGGAAATCAAGATAAACAGTTTGAGTGCACCTATCTTTCCTGTAGCAATGTATGGATGTGAGTCATGGACTATCTCAGTCATTATGGAGGAAAAAGGGGCTTATGAGCTGAAATGCTGTGAAAAAAGAAATCTTATTATTCTGTAATGACTATTACAATAATCAAGCTTGTTTACCTCCAGATTTATCCAGTTGACTATATGTGTATGTGTGTGGGTGTGTGCTTATGAGGTTGCACAAATTATGGCTAAGTGTAAAGTGTGGTAGAAAAGTTTCTATAACCAAGTGTAGACTGTGATAGAAAAGTTTCTAGAACTAGGTGTAGACAGGTAGAACAGTTTCTGTTGAGGTGATAATTTGTTTAATATGTACGACATTACAGGATGCACCAGGAGGAGGTGTGACAGCAGGGTTGATGACTGCTAGAACTGTCTGTCGCATCATTGTCAGAGATTTGTGTGGCAAGTACTGCTGGGAGAACTCTGTACTCTACAGCCCTCCATGGTGCACCAAGGGCTCATCCAGGCATAGTAAGTGTCTCGTGTCAGTACATTTGTCCAACTAGCTAAAGCACTAGTTTTGAAGGATGCACAGTTAGTGTAATCTTTCTTTATGCAAACAGACAAGCATGTTAATTAAAAACTAGAATTGAGATAGAAATATACATGACTAAACTGGCTTCCTACACAAGTGGAATGCAGAAGTAAACATCATTGACACTTCGTTGTTCTGGTGCAGTAGAGGAAGAGGAAACACCCAGAGTTGTTTAAGATAAACAGTGTCGCTGTTAATCTGTTGTATTTCATCAGAAGACAGTAGATAAGGTAGTGAGAGTTGTTAGTGTCACAAAACCCATGTTACATAATATGAAGAAGAATGTAACATTGTGAAGCGTGGAACTCTTTAAAAATCCAGTTAAATTTTTTGGCACAAAATAGGCATCTAAATTATGTTTTATGTTCAATGAATCACGTTGAATACAAGTATGAATGTAGTGCAAGCACTGGTGAAGTTTTTAAGACCCACACCTATGTTTTTTCATTGTTGTTGTCAGCTTTGGTCAAGTGATGCATCCTTTTTTTTTTTTTAAATCGCTGATGATTACTTGTAATATCCATTCAGCTTTGGGAATTGTCACTTGTATACTGGGCAACATTTACCATATGTGAATCAGACAGTTGCTGTATTCCTGGTATAGACAAGAAGGTCAAGAATGTTTGGTAGCTTTTATTTGTCCAACCCTCAACTCTTATTCTTTTTCTGCCTTTCTGATCCCCAAAGAAGCATAGGCCCTCAGCGGGCTAACTCCAAGTCCTTCTAGCCTTTGCTGTCTCCCCATCTTTTTAATGAAAATATGAAGTTTGATGATTTGTTTTTCCTGTGTGTAGATGCTGAGACGTTGTTGGGTTTAGCAGCTGGAGTTGAGCAGGAGTCGGTGCTTGTGAAGAAAGCTGAGGTGGTCAAGAGTGAGCCTGCAGTCCAGCATCCGGTTGACCAGCTGCCCTGTCATGAGGTTGTGGGTGTCAGTGGCGACAATCTGGACAAAGTAAGTAATAGAGGAGCAGGTACACAGCATTGGGCAGGGTCGACATTCTGGGCAATGGTGACATTCTGGGCAATGGTGACATTCTGGGCAATGGTGACATTCTGGACAGTGGTGACATTCTGGGCAATGGTGACATTCTGGGCAATGGTGACATTCTGGACATGGTGACATTCTGGGCAATGGTGACATTCTGGGCAATGGTGACATTCTGGGCAATGGTGACATTCTGGGCAATGGTGACATTCTGGGCAATGGTGACATTCTGGGCAATGGTGACATTCTGGACATGGTGACATTCTGGGCAATGGTGACATTCTGGACATGGTGACATTCTGGACATGGTGACATTCTGGACATGGTGACATTCTGGGCAATGGTGACATTCTGGGCAATGGTGACATTCTGGACATGGTGACATTCTGGGCAATGGTGACATTCTGGGCAATGGTGACATTCTGGGCAATGGTGACATTCTGGGCAATGGTGACATTCTGGGCAATGGTGACATTCTGGACATGGTGACATTCTGGGCAATGGTGACATTCTGGGCAATGGTGACATTCTGGGCGATGGTGACATTCTGGACATGGTGACATTCTGGGCAATGGTGACATTCTGGACATGGTGACATTCTGGACATGGTGACATTCTGGGCAATGGTGACATTCTGGACATGGTGACATTCTGGGCAGTGGTGACATTCTGGACAGTGGTGACATTCTGGGCAATGGTGACATTCTGGGCAATGGCGACATTCTGGGCACTGGTGACATTCTGGACATGGTGACATTCTGGGCAGTGGTGACATTCTGGACATGGTCACATTCTAGGCAATGGTGACATTCTGGGCAATGGTGACATTCTGGGCAATGGTGACATTCTGGGCAATGGTGACATTCTGGGCAATGGTGACATTCTGGGCAATGGTGACATTCTGGGCAATGGTGACATTCTGGACATGGTGACATTCTGGGCAATGGTGACATTCTGGGCAATGGTGACATTCTGGGCAGATTATTGTTGAAAATTAAATATGGGTGTCTGCAAAGTGCTGTTAATTGAATAAACTAAACACAAACTACAGGATCAGCTCTTTTATATATCAAATTCACTCTTTTGCAAATCAAATTTACTCTTGTTCAGACTAGATTCACTCTTGTTCAAATCAAATTCACTCTTGTTCAGACTAGATTCACTCTTGTGCAAATCATGTTCACTAGTGTGTAAATACAGTTGACTTTAAAAAAAATTCAGATTTACCTTTTGCTGATCAAGTTTTTTCACAGAAGTATGTTCTTGATCTATTGTAGTCTAAATAATAAATAATAAATTTGATTGGATAAAATTTTTATTGTCATGGATAAATAAACAGTTTTTGTATTTGTAGAAAAATATGATCTGTCAGAGGGTGGTTTTGATTTGCAAAAGTGTAAATTTGGTTTGAAAATGGGTGGAGATCCACCAGTTTGCCAGGCCTAGTAGGCTAGGAAGCTCAGTGATGGGACAAAGGAACAAATGCATACACACACACACAGTTAACCACAGTCTTTATCAGTGAATAAAGCAGCCTTCACACCTAGAAAACATCATTGTCTACACAGATGGATCTGTGAAGTGTGGATGAAGGTCAGCATGGACATGCACTGCACAGAGGGTGGACATGCACTGCACAGAGGGTGGACATGCACTGCACAGAGGGTGGACATGCACTGCACAGAGGGTGGGGAAAACAATAAAAGAGGATAGCATGACCATGGAGATAGCCGCTGCTTCTAGAGCACTAGCTTGGGTAGCAGAGCAAACCGCCACACAGGCAGTAACTGTGTCAGACTCCATGAACATACTTCAGAAGATACCTAACAGGCTGTATGTGCTCTGAATGGTTAGAAAGCATTTGAAAATCGCACTTAACTTCCCTCAACTTGATCTACACACCTGGTCATACTGGCGTAAAGGGTAATGAGCGAGCAGACCAACTGGCAAGCAATGCACCAATGCATATGTGACAAAGCATGGACATAGCAGATATCATTAACACTGCATGGATTGGGCTAGGGAATAATGATAAATTTTTGACACTAACACGATTGTGTGACATGGGAATAAAGAGTGGTGAAGCATGTCTATGCTGCCTTCAAGATAGAGAATGAAGACATTATAACCAACCTCTCATGGCAACAATCAGTAGAAATATGCCTTGGAGTTGTTGCTGCATCAGAGGACTGAGTCCACATTGGAATGCCCAGTGTGTAGTCACATCGATTGTGAAAATATAAAATAAAGCAATAATTTTAGCCACAACCCCCGAACAGGAGAGAGCTGGTCTCCATTGGCTATCCGTTCTTTGAGAGTATATCTATTAATAAATCCATTAATGGAATGAGAAAGTAAGAATTAATAAATACATGTTATGTATAAAAAAGATGATCTTTTGGGCAGTTGTCAAATTTCTTAGACATGCACTCAAAATGTGTACCATCTCACGTGGCGTAAAGAGTGCGAAGTTAATTTTCTTTGCTTGACAAAAAGCAAGAAATCAAAGCAATGTTTCCCTATTGTAAATTTGAACAGAGAAGACACAAACTTTGTAATTCTGAAGTTGGAGCACATCTTTCTGAGCAACGAGGAACCAGCAGACTTCATATAAGTTAGCCAGATCTGTAAAATGGATGTTCATGCATAGTTCAAGTTCTGAAACAAGACTGAAGTCTAAAATTGGATGAACAACCAGAACTTCCCACAGGAGTTTACAGCCTGTGAATGCCGAGAAGAAGAAGAAAGGATTAATTTATTTGCTTTATTTTATTCATTTATTACTGTAGTATGCACCTACTGAGATACCTCAGCATATGCCAGGCAGTAAATTATGCAGTCTACTATTTGTTTCATCTTATTTTTTTTTTAAACGTGAGGTCTGTCATGTTTCTTTTATCTGACTTCTGCTTCCATTTGTGACTCTCCTGCTGCCTGTTTGGACCCACAGATGCTGATTTACATTGGCCAGACGAGCCCGGAATGCCTGCTGAGACCAGGCAGACCCCTGAACATACCCAGTCGCCTGTCGGAGGACTTCATGGAGTCTACAGAGGAGAACATCATTAAGCTGATCCAAGAACAGAACCTAAAGGAAATAGAATATAGTCAAGCTCACAGGATGGATGTCAGGTAGGGTGGGAACATATTTCCTGGTTGTATGAGAACGGAAAGCTGTTGAACTGTCATCCAAATTATTTTGATTCATGGTTGTCAGCACTTGTTGGTTTCTTTTATTGCTGCAGTTTCAAAACCATTTTTTCAGTGTTTTGGCAGAAACAAAATTCTAGTGTGTTTAGTTAAAACTGAGAAAAAGCTTTATCTGAAATGGGATGTAGAAGTGCTTAACCCCACGTGATGGTGCAGCAGTAGTACTAAAAGTGCTTTACCCCACATGATTGTGCAGCAGTAGTACCAGAAGTGCTTAACCCCACGTTATGGTGCAGCAGTAGTACCAGAAGTGCTTAACTCCACATGGTGGTGCAGCAGTAGTACCAGAAGTGCTTAACCCCACGTGATGGTGCAGCAGTAGTACCAGAAGTGCTTAACCCCACGTGATAGTGCACCAGTTCCAGGACTCATACTGTTTAAGGCCTGTCTATACATCTCCGCAGTCATCCTAGCAACTGTTTCCTATCCAGGGGCCTGACCAGCCTGGATAATATCCATAATTCCTTTGAAGTCTGTGTGCATCTCTACCTGAAAGGCAAAGAACTAAACAGACTGCACACAAATAAGCTAAATCTATCAAAGGATTTGCATACAACACTGAAGTCCTAGAACATGACCAAAGTCCAGAAGTGAATGAACATCCAGGAATTTTGCCAGAGTTTACAGCTGTTCAACGCCAGGAAGAATAAGAATATCTAAGATGTGCATAAATGACTGGCTGGAACACCAGTCTCTCAGATTTGGAGATACCAGTTTATAAATCTGCAAATACTAGTTTACAAATCTGGATATACCAGATTACAAATCTGGACATACGACTTTACAAATCTGGACATACCAGTTAACAAATCTGGAATTTAGGAAATGGTGCTAAATCTGGCTAGTGTATATTTTGGAGACTGCACACATAACAGCATGTGTAAATACAGACACAGAAAACGGTGCTTAATCTGGCCACAGCATATTTTGGAGACTATGCACACTTAACAGCATGTGTAAATGCAGTAAAACCTAACTAAAATGAGTATAATTTGGGTTCTGGCAGGGATGTATTGTTATCGTTTGTCCCTAGTTAGCTCTGCGGCGTCCGTGGCTAAGGCCTTGCAAATCCGACTCGTGAGCCAGCATACCGCGATCGAAACCCACTGCAGACTTCGTGGATTTTTGTCGTGGTATGGGACGTCGCAGGTCGACCCAGCCTAAAATGGGTACCAGGATGGGCTGTCCTGGGAAAGTAAAGACAGCCGGCGTAATGCTGACCACATTACCCACAGAGTGCTGATGGTCTGTAAAAATATGGGACGCTCTGCCCATATGCCTGATGCGCCGAAAGGCGTGAAAAGGGATCTTTACTTTACTTTTTACTTACTAGTTAGCTCTAGGTTTTTTGTTTCTTTTTAGCATGAACTAGATAGAGAGAAATAGAAACAAATTGTGCTTGTAAGCAGACAGCTTTGCAGGAAGATGAAGCTGAAAAAGAAATAGATATTGAAGCTCTTCTATTTTTGACATTTAATATTTTAGACAAAGCATACATGGAAAGAGAAGAAGGACGTAGAGCACGGGGTTGACCAAGAACAAGATGGAAGGATAACATTAGAGAAACTCTACAACAGCACGATGTGCCTATGGTTGAGGCAGCCAGAAGAGCTAGAAACAGAACCTTATATCTCCCTCGACACCCACAGCGGTAAAAGAGGAAGTGAAGAAGAAGAAGAAGAATATTTTAGACTGCAAAATAAGTAAAGGAATAATACATTTTCTGCAACTGACTTTATTGTCTCCAATGTTTTTCTGAAAAATGTTCTCGCACAATAGTTTAATAGAAGTGTACATTTTGTTCTTTGTGCTTGCAAGAAGGCCTCGGAGATCAGATCAGTAAGTCGAGGACAACGGTTTCATTTAGCACAAATAGATGTAGCGAATAGCCAGATTTTTCTTAGCCACCATTTCATATACTTTTTCTTTTCAGAGATTTTATTTTTGTTTTAATTAGAAAATATCTATTTATCTGTGTGTATTACATGTGTGGGTATATATGTGTGTGCGTTTTTTTTTTTTAGATAGTAACTGGCAGATTTGTACAAATTATCAATCAACAAACAGGAAATGGGGTAAACTGTCAAGCTGTGGAAATATTAAAAATAGGAAAGTACACATTAGTGACAGCTGCAAATTTGTTTTATCTGACAGCAGAGTCTGCTGTTTTTTAAAATAATTATTTCTTTGTTGTTGTTGTAAAGCAGATATACTGTGTCTGGTTTCCATGTTTTCCGCTGGTTTACAAACATACGTGCATGCAAGAATAACTAGAATAGTGTAAAAGTATTGATCACAAAGTATTGATCTATTGTTCGATCGATTTGTCACCCCTGGGCTGTTACCTTAAGTTTAAGTATCCTGCAGGTGTAAAGGTGTAACCTGCATTCTTGTTTCGTTAAGGATGAAAATATACAGGTGTGACATTTGTTGACACAGAACAATATCTCTGCAAGCCACTGGAGGTGTCTTGTGTTATTGTTCTGACAGTGTGATAGCCTGCAACGAGGTGACCAAGCTGTGTGCCTTATCCTCTGAAGCTTGTGGGTTTAACTTCAGAATGCATTGTTGGGTTCACGAGTGCATTTTCTCCCCAGAGATCCAGAGGAGCCACAGAGCTCACATTTTGTGTGACACACTTGGCAGGTGCCTAGCCGCTCCATAGAGAGAGACTAAGACACATGTGATAAACCTCAGTGCAATGAAGCTCATCCTCTTATTTTACCCTTTTTAACAACAACAAAAATTGATTGTAATACATTTTGAAAAATTGACCACTTGAAATCTTCTTCTGAAAAATTTCTGGTTTTTCAACTTGTTCTTCTTCTTCGCGTTCACCAGCTGTACACTCTGGCGGAAAGTTCTGGTTGCTCGTCCACTACTGAACTGCAGTCCTGCTCCAGAACCTGAGTGTTGCGTGTGCATCAGTTTTACAGATCTCATTCTCTTGAATACAGACTGTTGGTTTCTTGCCTCTCAGGCAGATGCACTCCGACTTCAAAGGAAGCTCCCCAATTAGTCGACTCTTACGACATGCTTTTGGGGAGGCAGTGGGTCTATTCTTGTTTTCCCCACAACGGGGCCCCGGAACCCACAGGGGAGGCAGTGGGTCTATTCTTGTTTTCCCCACAACGGGGCCCCGGAACCCACACGGGAGGCAGTGGGTCTATTCTTGTTTTCCCCACAACGGGGCCCCGGAACCCACACGGAGGTTTCAACTTGTTGACTTTCATCTTGTTCCAGAACCTGAGTTTTACAGATCTGGTTTACTTGTATTGAGAGTGTCGGTTCCTTGCCTCTCAGGCAGATGCACTCCGACTTCCAAGGAAACACCCCTAATTCATCAACTTTTAGGACATTCTTGTTTTGGACCAGTGGGTCTATTCTTGTTTCCCCCAAAGTGGGGCCCCAAAACCAACACAGGGAAACCAATAGAAATAAAGGAAGTCTGTTTGTTGTAACATAAATTGCTGAATTCAAATTCAACTTTGTTTATTGTTGTGGTTGATGTTTCTGTATGGTGTGTTTTTATTCGTCTTTTATTTAAATATTTGGTGACAGTGAGGCTTACCTCTGCACAGTTCAGCATATATCATTCACTGGATGCACATTTACCTTCTTTTAATTATATCATTTTTTCCAATTACTCATCTGATTGTAGGAGAATAATATATTTTTTTTTCTAATTAAAGTTTTTCTGTAATTACTCATTTTATTCTCCATGTATTGCCTAATGCTGAAACATTTCTTGGGAAAAGTAATGTACCTTATTTAACATTATTCTGGGTAGAGAGCTATTAACAGATGCCTTTACCAAATATAACGACTTTTTTTTTGGCCATTGCTAATGCCTGTTAACTTTTTATGTAAATAATTTAGCTCTGAATTCAGATTGCTTCATTAAATATTCTCTCTTTCAGAAAATAAAATAACAAAATTTAGTCATTGATTGAATAAATCCTCTGTCACTTCCCTGATTTCACGAATTTTTTTTTTAGGTCATTATCGTAATTATGTACTGCTCTCTAAGCCCCTCCCCCCCCCCAACCTACCACCCCCAACCTACCACCCCCAAACCTACCACCCCCAAACCTACCACCCCCAAACCTACCACCCCCAAACCTACCACCCCCCAACCTACCACCCCCAAAACCTACCACCCCCAACCTACCACCCCCAGTTAAAATAATTTTTTTTTTAACTCCCAGCTGTTAATGTACATACTCAAAGAAAAAAAACCCCAGCTACATTTGTACAAACGTGTGTTTGGAAGTAAATTACAGATCAGTATTAGTGTTACTTATGTCTTCAGATGGACAGCAAACTAAACGGTCTGTAAACATACGAATTAGCTGAAGTTACTTCTAGAAATAGTTGAATATAATGTGGGCTGTTTGGGTTATTTCTTGTGGAGTCACAGCGAGTGTCATTCTGTAAATTTAACCTCTTCCACTGGTGCATTATATTTAAACTTAAATATAATTTTTCTCCCACAGAAGAAAATATGTTATGATGAAGCTTATAATTCGTTAACAGTTTACAAAAGCATTTAAAATATTGCAAACAAATATATGAGTATTCATTAAATTAGTGCTGACAATGAGAATTTCATTTTGTTCATATATGTTAAAGTAATTTACCAAAATTGCTAGAAATAGTAAAAATAACCTTTTCTTTGAGGGCAAAAATTCACCAGTGTTTGCATTCTTTATGTATTGTGCTTGCTACCAGTCTGTTGGAAGTCTCTTATATTTTGGTGTCTTTGCTTTTTGTCTTTTATTAACTTTTATGATAAATAAGCCAATTATATAGTTTGCCTTCCAGCCTGGGGATGTTTTACGGCTGTCATTTGATTTACGAGTGCAGTTTTTTTTTTAGAGATCCTTAGAGATTGTCACCTGAGCTACAGTGTTCATGCTTTGTGCAGCACAGGCAGGTGGCTAGCCATTCTGCGGATAGCGACCGGTCATATAGGATAACACCCAGTGCAATGAAGTCAATGTTCTCGTGTAACCTACCTAGTTCAGTCAAGACTTGGAAAATCTGTTTTGTATAAAATGTTGAAAGGACAATTATAGCAGTTTATCACATTTGTTAAAGATGTTATTATTAGTCTATTTTTTTTATAAAACATTATTGAAAAATTTAGAAATGCCAGTCACATATAAAAGGACAAAAATGCCAGTCATAAATAAAAGGACAAAAATGCCAGTCACAAATAAAAGGACCAATATAGAAATGCCAGTCACAAATAAAAGGACCAATATAGAAATGCCAGTCACAAATAAAAGGACCAATATAGAAATGACAGTCACAAATAAAAGGACCAATATAGAAATGCCAGTCACAAATAAAAGGACCAATATAGAAATGCCAGTCACAAATAAAAGGACCAATATAGAAATGCCAGTCACAAATAAAAGGACCAATATAGAAATGCCAGTCACATATAAAAGGACAAATATAGAAATGTCAGTCACATATAAAAGGACAAATATAGAAATGCCAGTCACATATAAAAGGACAAATATAGAAATGCCAGTAACAAATAAAAGGACAAATATAGAAATGCCAGTCACATATAAAAGGACAAATATAGAAATGTCAGTCACAAATAAAAGGACAAATATAGAAATTCCAGTCACAAATAAAAGGACAAATATAGAAATTCCAGTCACAAATAAAAGGACAAATATAGAAATGCCAGTCACATATAAAAGGACCAATATAGAAATGCCAGTCACAAATAAAAGGACCAATATAGAAATGCCAGTCACAAATAAAAGGACAAATATAGAAATGCCAGTCACATATAATAGGACAAATATAGGAATTTCAGTCACATATAATAGAACAAATATAGAAATGCTAGTCACAAAAAAAAGGACAAATATATAAATGCTAGTCACATATAAATGGTCACATACGATCTTTTATATGTAGACAGTTCAAGGGAGTTAAAAATGGATTAGAGTTTGTAATAAACAGATAGTTTTCATGTGTTTGAAAAATTGTATTTTATTTTATATATCCATGTTATTGTTATTTCCTACAGCATGGTGGCGCCACCTGAGATGCCTGCAGAGAGTCAGGACCCTGTTTCTCCCTTTCAAATGTGCCGCCTGCTTCTGGATCAGATTGGTTTGCTTTCATGGGAGAAGAGGTAGTGAATTTTACTCTGGTCACTTTTAAAATAAATATACTAAAGTATTTCCTTTGTTAGTATCCTATATTACTATCTTTATTTACTCTCCTATGATTAGGCAAGAGTATACCACCTTTTCTATGTTTAAAAAAAAATGTATTTTATAACTGCATAGGCCAAACGAAATAATATATATTAATATGTTGTTGTATTGTTCTGTTATGCCATCATCTGTATTTTTTTCCCCTCAACATTTTCCTTGGCTCACAGGTTGACCCAGCCCAAATAGATATCAGGAAATGTGGTGGGAAGTAGAGGGAGCTGGTGGGATGTTGACCTCACCACCCATCAAAAAGTTAGCATTCTTTGGATATTTTTTGGGGTGTATGCGAGAGTGTTGGGAAGAGAACAGGCAGACAGATTTGCCGGTCCTGCACCAGTGGTCGGTGAATTTATGCATGACATGGCTACTTGGTGGTCAGTGCCCTTTGCGAGCAAGTGAAGAATGCGGCGGCACGAGTTGATCATTATGGTATGGAGAAAATGGTGCAGTTGGGAGTGACCAGGGTATCTGGTCGACACTTTACACTCAGAGGAAAGGTAAGATAGATATATAATCAAATGGATGCTGGTACCAGCGAATTGGAACTTCGCTCACTGCTGAAGATGAGGATGGTGCACTATGGGAATGCCCCAGTGCTGTGATTTCATTTCTTAGCTCAGCATTCCATCAAATACTGCTTGGCCTATAAAAATGTGAATCTGTAATCATAAATCTCACGCTGCACTGATGTATAAAGGGAAGTTAACCCAGTGGACAATTACTCGATGAAATTTGATGTGTTGACCGAAAGGCACACATATTGCAACTCTGCTATAAACAGACACAGCGCCTTTATGTCACTTGGACGAACAAAAAAGAAGAAAAGGTACTTTAGTTAACTTTATCAGTAAATGTTCCAGAAATATAATTTATCGCATCCATCTTGTTATCTTCCAACCAATCAGATGCCATTTTGATCTGCTGAAGAAAAGTGACAAAATTATAAGGGAACTAAAAAACTTGGATGCTCAGAAATGGTGAGTCAATGTTAGCTTGTCATCTTTTCTCCTCATCATTAGTCAGGATAATCAGTCTGTTATCTGTTGAAGTGAATGCGTGAATATTTTAGTGCATGTATGGGTATGGGAGCTGTCAGGTGTAGCCGCTAGATGTTTCGCCTGCTGATACAAGGGTCTTGGGTTCAGATCTAAATGACTTTGGCTCCCAGATAGGCCCAACCTTAAATGGGTACTAGGTAAAGAATGAGAAGTAAAGATGGCTAGCATCATGTTGACCGCATCACCCATTGAGTGCCAACTGGTCTTTAAAATATAGGTCTGCCACTCTGTGCCCTATATGCCCTAAGGCATTCATATTGGTTCTTTTTTACCTGTATGTATCCATTCATTCATTCATTTTCCTGTTATGCCATTATATATCGCATAGGGCTCACAGTCTACTCCTCCATTCTGTTCTATCCTATGCGATCAGTTCAATATCATGGATGGAATCCAGTCCAGCAGCTTTAGCTTCTCTCGTCAACGTTCATCTTAGGGTTTCTTTTGGGACTTTTATGTATGGGTATACCAAAAGGGAGGATGTAGAGTGCCTCCTTTCACTTCTAGAGTTACAAAAGATATTCTTAAGAGAAATATCTTATTCTTATAGTCTGTGTTGTTTGGCATTGGTAGTCATTTCTATCCACAACCTTCTGTCATGTGTACTTTTAGTAATTACTGACACATATGAACCTCCGTGCCATGATGTCAAAAGGTCCAGCATTTTCTCCCTCGGTCTCCTTCTGCTTCTTTTTCCTCTCCAACTTTCCGGCCCGGTGTCAAGAGGTACTCCAGTATTCTTTATCTCACTTCTTCACATGACGTGTTCAAAGAATGTAGATTGTTTTCTTCTGATGTGAGCAGTCAGTTCTCTTCGTCAGTCAGTTTCTTTCAAGACATCTTCAATTATCTTTTTATCTGACCGGGGTGTTCTCATCATCATCTGTAAAACCACCTCTCGGCCACTTCCACATAGTTGTTCTCAAATTGGCTATCTATCCATGATTCACTTTCGCATATCAGGATATGATTTATATAGCTCTTGAGAATTCTCTTTCTCATCTCAATTGACAGAGAAAGATTGCATAAAATATTCTTCCCCATTTAATAAAGAGACATTTTTGTGTGTTTCCTTATCTTTGAGTTTCAACATTTCTCTGTTTCTTGTGATTTGTAATATTTAATCTTTTAATTATTGATTTGTAAATAAATTTGTTTTCCTAGTCGAGAGACGCACAAGATTGCTGTCATATATATAGCTCAAGGTCAGGAGGACAAAAACTCCATATTAAACAACAGCTCTGCAAGTCGTGCCTTTGAGGATTTTGTAGCCGGGCTTGGTTGGGAGGTTTGTTACTTGTTTAAATGTTATAATCTAATATACAATGTATTTCTATTTGTGGATAATTTCTGACTCCATAATATTTTATTTTAATGGAAATTGACAAAATACTGCATCTTCTACTTCTGTTCTTTATCAGCAATTGGAGCATAGGCTGTCAACCAAGTCATGGATCTGCAGTTCCATCTGTTAGCAATCTTAAACAGTGCTAGCTTTAGATAAAAGATGACTTCTAGAGATTATAATAATTATTGTTATTTAAATGGTTGGCTTTTACAAGATGAAAAGCATGCCCACGGTACAAAGGCTGTCAGTTGTAGCAAAAACAATAGTATTAAAAAGCTATTTTAGTTTATGCTATTTATGATTAGACACACAGTTTAAAAATATCTTTTCATTCTTTTTCTTGTACTATTCATGATTGTAGTTATTCTTCCTTTTTCTTTTTTTACTTCTTTACACAATTACCCTGGAATTATGTTTACCTTTTCAGAATTTATTCTTCGCTGGAATACCTGTTTAAAATAGTTCCGTTGCACACCACATTACTTTGAAATATTTAGTGTCCTATTTTCACTGTTGCCCAGTTGGACAGCAGCTAATGGTTAAATATTAATTTTGGCCTGTTTCAGGTTGATCTGGAGTCACACCAAGGATTCATGGGAGGTCTACAGTCAAACCGAACCACCGGCAACACGGCTCCCTACTGGGCCAACTCAACGTGTGAGGCTATCTTCCACGTGTCCACTCGAATACCAAGTTCTGGCACTGATTGGCATATTAAGGTAAGATTTTAATTTAGACAGAAACAACACATAGCAGACAACAGATAGCTAGAATGTAGGTCTCTCATGTCTGCAGTTTCAGCTCTGTACCTCAGTGAGCAGAGGTTTCTGTACTCTTTATTTATGTGCACCCAGACAGTTGGTTCAAAAATTGATTAAAGTGTACCAAACCTTACTTGGAGATTGATGTGGTTGAGATGTACAGTTACTTTGAGATTGAGTTTAACACCGATATCATTGCACTCAGGACATTCCCATAAGCACTCTTTCCCCATTTTCAGCAGCTAGTGCAAGGTTCCAGTTCCAGTGGTGCCAGTAGTTGAGATTCTACCAGTCCATATTAAAGTAAGCATATGGCTTACATTCCATGACAGTATTTGGGAATGGACATCATGGCACTCCGGAAATAAGCACCCTGTCCCCATTTTCAGCAACCAATGCAGAGTTAGAGGTCTGTTGGTAGCAGTTGCAGTCTGAATCGTATGTTTGTCTTGGCTTTCCTCTGAGTGTTGAGTGTTCACCACATCGCCTAGCCACTTCCCCACTGCATCATTTTCTTCACACTGTGATGAATTATTTGTGCTAATGCACATCAAGAAAATTATATCTGTAATATTTCTAGGGTCTCAAGGGTTGCTCCCCTCCATCCTGTTTGTTTATGTGATAGAGAATCTGAGCACATTGCCTGAAAACACAACACCGCCAAGGATCCACATGTGTGTCAAGGATCCAGATGTGTGTCAAGGGTCCAGATGTGTGTCAAGGGTCCAGATGTGTGTCAAGGGTCCAGATGTGTGTCAAGGATCCAGATGTGTGTCAAAGATCCAGATGTGTGTCAAGGGTCCAGATGTGTGTCAAGGGTCCATATGTGTGTCAAGGATCCACATGTGTGTCAAGGGTCCAGATGTGTGTCAAGGGTCCAGATGTGTGTCAAGGATCCGGATGTGTGTCAAGGATCCACATGTGTGTCAAGGATCCACATGTGTGTCAAGGGTCCACATGTGTGTCAAGGATCCACATGTGTGTCAAAGATCCAGATGTGTGTCAAGGGTCCGGATGTGTGTCAAGGATCCGGATGTGTGTCAAGGATCCACATGTGTGTCAAGGATCCACATGTGTGTCAAGGATCCCTATGTGTGTCAAGGATCCACATGTGTGTCAAGGATCCAGATTTGTGTCAATTTTCCGGATGTGTGTCAAGGATCCAGATGTGTGTCAAGGGTCCAGATGTGTGTCAAGGGTCCAGATGTGTGTCAAGGCTCCAGATGTGTGTCAAGGGTCCAGATGTGTGTCAAGGGTCCAGATGTGTGTCAAGGATCCGGATGTGTGTCAAGGATCCGGATGTGTGTCAAGGATCCGGATGTGTGTCATGAAACCAGATGTGTGTCAAGGATCCAGATTTGTGTCAAGGATCCAGATGTGTGTCAAGGATCCGGATGTGTGTCAAGGATCCGGATGTGTGTCATGAAACCAGATGTGTGTCAAGGATCCACATTTGTGTCAAGGATCCAGATGTGTGTCAAGGGTCCAGATGTGTGTCAAGGGTCCAGATGTGTGTCACGGATCCAGATGGTCTCAGAATCACACATCTTTTTTTTTTTTTGGTATAATTTCAGTTTTGAAATTTTAGCTGGGCAGCAACCTCTTTTGACTTTTCAGTGTAAATCTTTTATAACATGATATTTAAAACTTTTTAATGAGTCATTCAAATTGTAATTTACTAAAGATGTGATCATTTTGATCATTGATGTAATAATTTTATATTGAGACATTCATTTAATACTTTTTTTTATTCAGACATTCATGGATAATAATATTCTGTATAGTAATTTGTGTAATAATTTTTATAGAGTCATTTATAAATAAGATTTATAATGACAAGAAACTAAATTTTCACTTGAAATTTAAAAGTTTTCTAAATGTTGATGTGAACCACATCCACATCATGACAGTTGGTAAACAGGACAATGTAGAAGATTGCTAGGATTGGGGGAAGTACGGTGTAGCCTTGTGTTACGGGCCGCTACGGAAACCATGAAGGCCATCCTGGGTTACCCTGAAAGGCCCTGGCCAACGGGGCTCTGGTGAAATTAGGACAGGCCTAGCAAGCTGGCAGTGCTTTGTTATCGCTACTGAAATTACAATGAGATATAAACGGACTGATCAAACAGCATTCGACTATGGCATTGGTAAAGCAAATTAAATGATTTGCCCACTTAGGGAGAATGCCATGGGATGCTATACCATACAAGGCGTCCACCAAAATGGGAAATGTATGAAGAGCATGGGGTATACCAAGAGCAGGATGGAAAGATAACATCATAGAAACTCTACAGCAGTATGATGTGTCTGTGGTTGAGGTGGCCAGAGGAACAAGATGCAGAACCTGGTATCTCCCTTGGCAGTAAAGAAGAGAAGGAGAACCGTTTGATTAATTCTCTGTGTAACAATGTTCCAGATGCGCCATATCGGTAACGACGAAGTTCACATTGTATGGTCAGAACATAACAGGGACTACAGAAGGGGGATTATTCCCACAGAATTTGGAGATATTGTCATTGTTATCTACCCTTTGCCTATTGGGCTGTATCGAATTCAGATCATCAGAAAACCAGAGGTAAGATTTAAAGTGTCCAAATTCTTGAAAGTTTCTGCTAGTTTACAACTAACAGTCTTCTGTAGATGTGTGCATTTACTCTTTCTCGTGTAATAATTTTTAACCATACAATTAATACTGTCCGATTTCCTAACAAAGGAACTCCCAGATATTGGAATTATAGTTTTCGGAGAAATATGGCGATGGGAAAGATCTAGCCAAATCAAATGGTAGCTGGAGTTTCATCTGAAAAAGTGTATCATTTTTCCCCCCACTCATCCAAGAAATGTCTAACATTATACGCCGTGTGTCATTCAGAACGAGAAACTGAAATGTTTGAGGCTAAAACACAAAGAAAACTTGTAAACATTAGAAAGTGGCCATATTTTCAAAAGAGACAAGTCAGAACTTAATATAACAGGAAAGGTTATTGGGAATTAGACATAATAAGCCTTACTGATGGTGGAGAGGTGGGAGAGGGAAATAGGAGACCTACTGATTTGTAACAAGTAACAGAAAGTATTGTGATCTAGAAATAGTGTTCTTCTATCTTTCTACTTCTTTCTATGAGTGCCGATCACAATACTTTCTGTTACTTGATTAATTCATAATATTTAACGGCCTCAAAAAGGTTCCCCACTCTGTTTAATTATAGGAATGATTTGTAACAAGAGAGTTTATCATGTAAGAGCTGACATCCAAACAATCCTAACCTCACTAGCCATGCAGCCTTAAATCCTTAGGCTCATGACCCTCTTGTACTACGCTACCAAGTGGTAAATGCAGGCGCAGGCAGTTAGGACCAAGCTTACAGCCAGTCCACAGAGGATTCAACTTGAGGGAGAGATCATTCATTATGTAAGAGCTTACAGCCAGTCCACAGAGGATTAAACTTGAGGGGGAGATCATGTAAGAGCTTACAGCCAGTCCACAGAGGATTCAACTTGAGGGGGAGATCATGTAAGAGCTTACACTCAGTCCACAGAGGATTCAACTTGAGGGAGAGATCATGTAAGAGCTTACACTCAGTCCACAGAGGATTCAACTTGAGGGAGAGATCATGTAAGAGCTCACACTCAGTCCACAGAGGATTCAACTTGAGGGAGAGATCATTCATCATGTAAGAGCTTACAGCCAGCCCACAGAGGATTCAACTTGAGGGAGAGATCATTCATCATGTAAGAGCTTACACCCTGTCCACAGATAAATCAACTTGAGGGAGAGATAATTCATCATGTAAGAGCTTACACCCTGTCCACAGAGAATTAAACTTGAGGGAGAGATCATTCATCATGTAAGAGCCTACACCCTGTCCACAGAGAATTAAACTTGAGGGAGAGATCATTCATCATGTAAGAGCTTACACCCTGTCCACAGAGGATTCAACTTGAGGGAGAGATCATTCATCATGTAAGAGCTTACACCCTGTCCACAGAGGATTCAACTTGAGGGAGAGATCATGTAAGAGCTTACACCCAGTCCACAGAGGATTCAACTTGAGGGAGAGATCATGTAAGAGCTTACACCCAGTCCACAGATAAATCAACTTGAGGGAGAGATCATGTAAGAGCCTACACCCAGTCCACAGATAAATCAACTTGAGGGAGAGATCATGTAAGAGCTTACAGCCAGTCCACAGAGAATTAAACTTGAGGGAGAGATCATTCATCATGTAAGAGCTTACACCCTGTCCACAGATAAATCAACTTGAGGGAGAGATCATTCATCATGTAAGAGCTTACACCCTGTCCACAGAGGATTCAACTTGAGGGAGAGATCATTCATCATGTAAGATCTTACACCCTGTCCACAGATAAATCAACTTGAGGGAGAGATATAATGGGAAGCAAGTCACAAATGGTTGTTATAAAAAAAATATATAAGAAATAAAAAATAAAAACGATAACTTGAAATCCATTTAATTTTACACATACACTATCCCTTTATTTTTCAACATAATTTCCACCAACATTGATGTGCTTGTCCCATTGTTTTAGCAGTCCTCCCAATCCTGCTACACAGAGCTGCATGCTCTGTTTTCTATACTACATTTTCACTTCACATTTAATTTCTGCATCATCCGCGAAATGTCTCCCGCCAAGGTGGGTGGTCAGTGGACCAAAAAGGTGAAAATTGCTTGAGGCTAAGTCGGGCTGTAAAGTGGATGTCCTAGAAGTTCCCATCCTAGATGATCCATTTTCTCCTGAGTTAGCTGAGCCGTATGTGGTCTGGCATTGTCATGAGAGAGCAGCACTAGTCAGGAGGCATGGAAATTTTCTTTGAATCGCATCATGAAGCGTCGATGGAATTTACCGTATGAATCAGCATTTACATTGTCACCTGTTTTTTTTTTTTAAATTGGTTAAAAGCTCCCCTTGACATCCCAGAACACTGTCAGCATAACCTTCCCTGCTGTTGGCGTAACCTTCCCTGCTGTTGGCGTAACCTTCCCTGCTGTTGGCGTAACCTTCCCTGCTGTTGGCGTAACCTTCCCTGCTGTTGGCGTAACCTTTCCTGCTGTTGGCGTAACCTTTCCTGCTGTTGGCGTAACCTTTCCTGCTGTTGGCGTAACCTTCCCTGCTGTTGGCGTAACCTTCCCTGCTGTTGGCCTAACCTTTCCTGCTGTTGGCGTAACCTTCCCTGCTGTTGGCGTAACCTTGCATTTTTTAACACAAGGCGGAAAAGGATGTTTCCATTGCATTGAAGCATGCTTTGGTTCAGGCTGGTAGTGATGCACCCAGGATTCGTTCCCAGTAATAATCATGTTCAGCATGTCTTCTCCTTCATTTGCATGTCGATAGAGATGCTGTAAGGACAGACCTAATCGGTTCATTTTGTCTTCGTCAATTATCTGGGTACCCACCTTGAGCACACTTTTTAAAATTTCAATTGATCGCGCATATGTTGTTTGCTGAACCATGTGAACACCCTATTGCAACTGCTACAGAGTCAACCGTTACTCGCCTGTCACCTTTAATCATCTCCTCCCCCCCCCCCCCCCCCCCCCGCTGCACTGATGTGTCTGTTGCATTCTCAACAGGAGGACTAGATTGGACTAAATAAACGATATTAGAGTGCTCTTGAGAAAATGTTTTTACCCAGCTATGCACCGCTTTACAGTATAAACATTTGTCAGCATAAATGGGAAGCATTTCCTTATGAATGTCCTTTGTAGGTAGTCTTTTTTTGCCCCCCCCCCCCCCCCCCCCCCCCCCACCCCAGAAAATACCCAGCACGTTGTCTTTTAAGGGTACACTCCATAAGTACAGTCACCATTTTGTTTCTGTGTTGCAATGTGCATGCAACACCTAGCGCCACCTAACAAATGGAGACATAAAGTTCGATGTTGCTGTCACCTAATAATTCACCATGTAAGAGTTTACACCCAGTCCACAGATGAATCAGCTTGGGGGAGAGATAATTCACATAGTAAGAGTTTACACCCAGTCCACAGATGAATCAGCTTGGATGAGAGATAATTCACATAGTAAGAGTTTACACCCAGTCCACAGATGAATCAGCTTGGATGAGAGATAATTCACATAGTAATAGTTTACACCCAGTCCACAGATGTATCAGCTTGGGGGAGAGATAATTCACATAGTAAGAGTTTACACCCAGTCCACAGATGAATCATCTTGGGGGAGAGATAATTCAGGTAGTAAGAGTTTACACCCAGTGGACAGATGAATCAGCTTGGATGAGAGATAATTCACATAGTAAGAGTTTACACCCAGTCCACAGATGAATCAGCTTGGATGAGAGATAATTCACATAGTAAGAGTTTACACCCAGTCCACAGATGAATCATCTTGGGGGAGAGATAATTCAGGTAGTAAGAGTTTACACCCAGTCGACAGATGAATCAGCTTGGATGAGAGATAATTCACATAGTAAGAGTTTACACCCAGTCGACAGATGAATCAGCTTGGATGAGAGATAATTCACATAGTAAGAGTTTACACCCAGTCGACAGATGAATCAGCTTGGATGAGAGATAATTCACATAGTAAGAGTTTACACCCAGTCCACAGATGAATCAGCTTGGGGGAGAGATAATTCACATAGTAAGAGTTTACACCCCGTCCACAGATGAATCAGCTTGGATGAGAGATAATTCACATAGTAAGAGTTTACACCCCGTCCACAGATGAATCAGCTTTAAGGAGAGATAATTCACATAGTAAGAGTTTACACCCAGTTGACAGATGAATCAGCTTGAGGGAGAGATAATTCAGGTAGTAAGAGTTTACACCCCGTCCACAGATGAATCAGCTTGGGGGAGAGATAATTCACATAGTAAGAGTTTACACCCCGTCCACAGATGAATCAGCTTGGGGGAGAGATAATTCACATAGTAAGAGTTTACACCCAGTCGACAGATGAATCAGCTTTAAGGAGAGATAATTCAGGTAGTAAGAGTTTACACCCAGTCGACAGATGAATTAGCTTTAAGGAGAGATAATTCAGGTAGTAAGAGTTTACACCCAGTCGACAGATGAATCAGCTTTAGGGAGAGATAATTCAGGTAGTAAGAGTTTACACCCAGTCAACAGATGAATCAGCTTGGGGGAGAGATAATTCAGGTAGTAAGAGTTCACACCCAGTCCACAGATGAATCAGCTTGTAAGAGTTTATGTACTGTTGCATGTACTACATACACATTTTTTTGGTTGCAGATTCCATTCTTTGGCCCACTGTTTGATGGGGCAGTTGTGGATTTCCAAGTCTTGCCTGGACTTGTACGGGCCACTGCCATCAATGCCAGCCGTCTCAAGCGATCCCTCATGCCTTTTTACCACGCATAGTATCCTTTTTTTGGTCTCAAATTTTTGTTGAAAGCCGACCCAGGTAACAAATGCTGAAAAAGTCAGATGCGTCGGCTCAAAGGCACAACTATTGTTGCTGTGATGTAGATCGGCACAGTACAGTTACATCCTCAGATGAATGCAGAAGAAGCAAAAGATTTCTAATCTCATGTGACTCACAGACTGATCTGGATTGCAAACAACATCACAAGGCAACACCTTATCGCATTTCATTTCTTACCTGAATACACAATTCTCTTGTCTGTCTTCAGCTTCAGGTCACTTATCTGCAGCGGTCAGTGATTATGACTCATAACTGCACTCTGTCATCTGAAATTTTAGTGAAGTTGGTATGGCTTATATTATTACTTTAAGCTTTCAACAATGGTTCCATATCTCTCTTGCTATTTACCAGCATGAGACTCATTTCTCTTTTCAGCTCTTTCTGTTTAGTTTAGTCAGGGGATCAACATCATGGCACACGGGTGAAAACCCATAAGTGCTCGGTTCTACTTCTAACTCAAGCCTGAGTCTGAAGAATCGCAGCGCAGTGCACCAACTCCGTTGCGCAGGCGAGGATCCTGAAATACTTTGGGTAGATTTTTAACACCAAATTTTGCCCCGGCAGCGCTGATAGGCTACTCTTTTCGATTTCCAACGGCCAATGAATTTTTTACGTGCGCAACAATACACATTCAGCCTTTCTGTAATGCCCCATCAGTTTCAGTTGTCTGCTCATTGTGATTTTATGGTGTGACTTAGTTACCGCCTGCAGTCATTAGTATCTTGGCAATTTATTATCTTCTCTGCCCATGATATTCTCAACAATATTCAACAACAACAACAACAAAAATCCACATTACCACAGAGTGACATTCTAGCCGGGCCGGAAAATCAACAACTTGTGAGTACATTTTCGTTGCTAATGTGGTGTCTACTGACTGTAGCAATGTGGTGTCTACTGACTGTAGCAATGTGGTGTCTACTGACTGTAGCAATGTGGTGTCTACTGACTGTAGCAATGTGGTGTCTACTGACTGTAGCAATGTGGTTGCAAAAGAAGCACTGAGAACCTGTGGCACAGCATTAGAAATAAAGAAATACCCAAAACATTTTGGGAACCTGTATCTTTGCTGTGGTAATTCATGCGTGTGAACCATGGACTATTTCATAATCCCTAGAAAATACAATTTTAAAGTCATGAAGATGATGATAATGTTAATGATGAGGATAAAGATGAAAATAATAATTTTGATAGCAGCGATGATAGGACCAAAGTTTATTGCCTTTTTTTTCAGTCAGTTTATTGCCTTTCTCTTGTTTGTTTCCTTCATGAACACTCTCTTTACCTTGAGTTTCTCTAGAATGTTCATAGTTGTCCTTTTTCATCCCAACTCACCTAGATGTCCTAAAAGTCCACTTTTAATCTCTTGTGATCAAATAAAAATCCAGTCTTGTACACTGGTTGGTGTCTGCTTGGGCAGTGAGCTTTTTTACCTTCCTGTGCTAAAAACCCTCCCAGCATGCAACAGCAGTGATGAATGGATGAGTGAATCAAGAATTGACAACACAGCACTCAGGACATTCTCGTATGTGCTCAGTCCTTGTCCTCAGCAAAGTGTTCCAAATGTACTCAGTCCTTGTCCTCAGCAAAGTGTTCCTATTTGTGCTCGGTCCTTGTCCTCAGTAAAGTGTTCCTATATGTACTCAGTCCTTGTCCTCAGCAAAGTGTTCCTATATGTGCTCGGTCCTTGTCCTCAACAAAGTGTTCCTATATGTACTCAGTCCTTGTCCTCAGCAAAGTGTTCCTATATATGCTCGGTCCTTGTCCTCAACAAAGTGTTCCTATATGTGCTCAGTCCTTGTCCTCAGCAAAGTGTTCCTATATGTGCTCGGTCCTTGTCCTCAGCAAAGTGTTCCTATATGTACTCAGTCCTTGTCTTCAGCAAAGTGTTCCAAATGTACTCAGTCCTTGTCCTCAGCAAAGTGTTCCTATATGTGCTCGGTCCTTGTCCTCAGCAAAGTGTTCCTATATGTACTCAGTCCTTGTCCTCAGCAAAGTGTTCCTACACTGATTGTGCCTGTTGCAACCTGACTAAAAGTTTGCTTTTTTTTAACGCTCAACGCCCAGAGGAATAGCAGTAGCCAATCTATTTTTTACTCATTATCACGCACCCCCAGATGTCCTGGGCAAAGGATTCACAGCAGTAGTACAAAATGCAGTGTGGTATTTTCTAGTATAGATGAGAGTGAGTTAGATCTGTCAGTCTAGCTCTTAACAAGACATTGTTTTATTCTTTAACCAATGTGTCAGTTACGAGGAGAGAGCCAAGTGCTTGGAGTCAACTATTCAACAGCACACAGAGCAGACTATGTTTGAAGATTTTGCAGAGAATGTGTTTGCCCCTGTACTGCCTGCTAATGCTACAAGTTAGTTGACTTTAATCTGATATTTGTCCCAATGTGGATTCTGGGCCTCATTTTGGGGGATGGGGGTAGACCCACTGCCTCCTCTTCCCCCCCCCCCCCCAACATGTAAAAGGCTAGTTAGAGATGTTCCTTCAAGTTAGAGTGCATCTGTCTGAGATGCCAGGAACCAACAGTCTGCACAAAAATAAGCCAGATGTTTTAAATTGATGTGCATGCAAAACTCAAGTCCTGGAACAAGACCAGAGTCTCAAAGTGAACAAGCAACCAAAACTTTCTACCTGAATTTACAGCCGGTAAAGGCGCAGAGAATAAGAAGAAGATCTGACATATATTTCTTTATAAACAAGATATAAAATAGGCCAGTATTTTGAAATGTGGCGTTGATAGAAAATGTCCAGATTTTTTATATAACAGAAGTGCTGCAACAGCTACAAATTGGTGCTTCTTCTGTATGTATCTTGAACAGGGAAGGAATTCTTGGTTCCCAGAAGCAGTCGTAAATAAGAATGGTGACAAAAATATTGATCCAGAATCAGTAGAATTAGCCAGCTGCACAAAGAGAATGTTCACCTGGTATTGTTTGTTATCTGAGTGTTGTTGTCATCTGACAGTGAGTATTCTAGCTGGCATGTATTCAAACATTCCATGAGACAGAAGGCACTTGATAGTCATGATAAAACAGTGCCACATGACATTGGACAAGTTGATTTGATGTGACAGTCTGGCTTGTGACTGGTAGGAATTTCATCAGCTGCTGACAAAACCAGTTGTTTGCCCTATGAGAGCTGAGTAAACCAGTTGTTGACCCTATGAGAGCTGACTAAACCAGTTATTTACCCTATGAGAGCTGACTAAACCAGTTGTTTACTCTGTGAGAGCTGACTAAACCAGTTGTTTACCCTATGAGAGCTGACTAAAGCAGTAAATCAGTTTCATTCACTCTGATAGCTGACTAAACCAGATTCATATCCTCTGATAGCTGACTAAACAAGATTTTTATCCTCTGATAGCTGACTAAACAAGATTTCTATCCTCTGATAGCTGAATAAACAAGATTTCTATCCTCTGATAGCTGAATAAACAAGATTTGTATCCTCTGATAGCTGACTAAAGCAGATTCATATCCTCTGATAGCTGACTAAACCAGATTCATATCCTCTGATAGTTGACTAAACCAGATTCATATCCTCTGATAGTTGACTAAACCAGATTCATATCCTCTGATAGTTGACTAAACCAGATTCATATCCTCTGATGGCTGACTAAACCAGATTCATATCCTCTGATAGTTGACTAAACCAGATTCATATCCTCTGATGGCTGACTAAACCAGATTCATATCCTCTGATAGTTGACTAAACCAGGTTCATATACTCTGATAGCTGACTAAACCAGATTCATATCCTCTGATAGTTGACTAAACCAGGTTCATATCCTCTGATAGCTGACTAAACCAGGTTCATATCCTCTGATAGTTGACTAAACCAGATTCATATCCTCTGATAGCTGACTAAACCAGATTCATATCCTCTGATAGTTGTCTAAACCAGGTTCATATCCTCTGATAGCTGTCTAAACCACGTTCATATCCTCTGATAGCTGACTAAACCAGGTTCATATCTTCTGATAGCTGACTAAACCAGATTCATATCCTCTGATAGCTGACTAAACCAGGTTCATATCCTCTGATAGCTGACTAAACCAGATTCATATCCTCTGATAGCTGACTAAACCAGGTTCATATCCTCTGATAGCTGACTAAACCAGATTCATATCCTCTGATAGCTGACTAAACCAGGTTCATATCCTCTGATAGCTGACTAAACCAGGTTCATATCCTCTGATAGCTGACTAAACCAGATTCATATCCTCTGATAGCTGACTAAACCAGGTTCATATCCTCTGATAGCTGACTAAACCAGGTTCATATCCTCTGATAGCTGACTAAACCAGATTCATATCCTCTGATAGCTGACTAAACCAGGTTCATATCCTCTGATAGCTGACTAAACCAGATTTGTATCCTCTGATAGCTGACTAAACCAGGTTCATATCCTCTGATAGCTGACTAAACCAGATTTGTATCCTTTAATAGCTGACTTAACCAGATTTGTATCCTCTGATAGCTGACTAAACCAGATTTATATCCTCTGATAGCTGACTAAACCAGGTTCATATCCTCTGATAGCTGACTAAACCAGATTCATATCCTCTGATAGCTGACTAAACCAGGTTCATATCCTCTGATAGCTGACTAAACCAGGTTCATATCCTCTGATAGCTGACTAAACCAGATTTGTATCCTCTGATAGCTGACTAAACCAGGTTCATATCCTCTGATAGCTGACTAAACCAGATTTGTATCCTTTAATAGCTGACTTAACCAGATTTGTATCCTCTGATAGCTGACTAAACCAGATTTATATCCTCTGATAGCTGACTAAACCAGGTTCATATCCTCTGATAGCTGACTAAACCAGATTTGTATCCTTTAATAGCTGACTAAACAAGATTCATATCCTCTGATAGCTGACTAAACCAGGTTCATATCCTCTGATAGCTGACTAAACCAGATTCATATCCTCTGATAGCTGACTAAACCAGGTTCATATCCTCTGATAGCTGACTAAACCAGGTTCATATCCTCTGATAGCTGACTAAACCAGATTCATATCCTCTGATAGCTGACTAAACCAGGTTCATATCCTCTGATAGCTGACTAAACCAGGTTCATATCCTCTGATAGCTGACTAAACCAGATTCATATCCTCTGATAGCTGACTAAACCAGGTTCATATCCTCTGATAGCTGACTAAACCAGATTTGTATCCTCTGATAGCTGACTAAACCAGGTTCATATCCTCTGATAGCTGACTAAACCAGATTTGTATCCTCTGATAGCTGACTAAACCAGGTTCATATCCTCTGATAGCTGACTAAACCAGATTCATATCCTCTGATAGCTGACTAAACCAGGTTCATATCCTCTGATAGTTGACTAAACCAGATTCATATCCTCTGATAGCTGACTAAACCAGGTTCATATCCTCTGATAGTTGACTAAACCAGATTCATATCCTCTGATAGTTGACTAAACCAGATTTGTATCCTTTAATAGCTGACTTAACCAGATTTGTATCCTCTGATAGCTGACTAAACCAGATTTATATCCTCTGATAGCTTATTAGTCTTTTAACCCTGGTAACCTAGAAAACAATGCCAATGATCTGCTGTATTTTGGGAATTCCTGAATTTTTTTTTTTTACATAGGTGAGACAAAAAAATCTGACTCATTTATGGACCACAATAAAATAGAATCAGAGTAGTTATCAGTAAACATAAATGTAGTAGCTAATCAACTTCTATCTGACTCTTTAAAAACATTAATAGAGTGACTCATACTTGATCTACTAACTTGATCGCCAGGAACCAGTAGTGGTAACGGAAAACCATGATGTCATAATTTCTATTTAAAAAGCCATTTATTCACAAGGAACACCCCATTCCTCCCTCCCCCACCCCAACTCCATTAATGCTGTTTTTAGTAAATAAAATCAGTTTCCCTTCCCCTAAACATTTTCAGGGTCCCATATTATGCTGCTGCTGTTAGCTTTGCTTCTCGTGAATGGGACACCTTAGTCAGGTCGGTTTAGAGACATTTATGGAGCATTGGACCAAAACGGGAATGTTGATTTTGCAGCTTCTTGAGGCTACAGGGTTAAATCAGTTTCATACCCGCTGATAGCTTGATAATCATTCAACACAGGAATTCCACATTCACACAAAATCCTTTTAAATGAAAAAAAATTTTCACACAAACCAGTGAAGATTTTTTACATTTATTTATATACATTTTTAAAAAATTGTTTAGAAATACATGAAGGAGATAATGAATTAAACACGAATAAAACAGATAATTAAATGAATACCTTTCCCTTTCCCCAATTTTTTTTTTTCAACATCACTCTCATCTTTTCCCATGCTAGCATTTGTCTTCATACATGATCTTGACATCCAAGTCGACCAGCCTTACATGGGTACCAGGTAAAGTCCTGGAAAATAAAGTCAGCCAGTGCGATGTAAAAGACATCACCTATTGAGGACCAGTTGGTCAATTCTGGTAGTGCGCTTTCTGGTAGTCTTAGTTTCAGCTTCATAGCAAACGGGTCGCCCCATCTTTGCTCCGCTCCTGTGCCAGCGAAAAACACTCAGAATGTCTATCACAGTCCCTTGTGGAAAAATGGACAGACTGCTGTCTCAGCATATCTAGCATACACTCGCATTAAAGCATATGGTAGCTATCCGAAGTGCTAACACAAACAGTCCAACATTAGAAATGCAGTTCATCATTGATAATAGCAGAACTTTTCGCCAACAAATCAGCAGTTGCCCGCGCGATCAATTTTAATACGGGCCCCGCCAGCATTGCACGACAGGCATCGCGCCATTTTCTGAATCTACAATTCACACCACGTTGGTCACAGTCGAAAAAAGACATTCCAAATGCAATCCGCAGCTCACAGGGTCACGCCATGCATTCAACTCAGAAGCTGGGCGACGAAACTATATCCAGTCTACAAATGGAGCAAAAATACTTCGGCCACCGTCCGGCAGAAGCAAAAAATTTGCCTCTGCTCCGAACAGCGCCGCTGTCTAGCGTCCATTTTAACCGGAAGAAAAACTCAGTTTTTCAGTTGGTCAATCAAAATATGAGCCTATCCTCATAAGCCCTGTGTGCTAAAGGAAACTTTCCCCCCCCCCCCTCCCCCCACCCCCATTTCTAAACATTATGCAGGTGCCAACAGTAGCAAAGGAAAATGATAGGCATAACTGGTGCTGGCCATAGCCATAAAGCCACAATGTTGGCTACTCAGGGATTTGTAATGGTTGGAAAAGCCGAAATACTGGCCTTTAGAGTGACAGGGTTAAAGCAGTTCAAACCTCTTCCCAGAGTAGGTGCCTGGGTCATATTTGAGGGGGGGGGGGGGTGGTAATTGACCCGCTGCTTCCTAAACAATTACTTGTACAAGATGACTGATTAGGAGCTTGATAAAATTAAATTTGTTGAGCCAGAAGGTACAGATATCGCAGCCTAGCTGTAGACCGCAGCATCACATGCCAGCCACCTTTTTATGGAAGAATATAGAAAAAAAAAAGAACAATATACCCTATGATATCACCTGGAGTTGTCTTAGCTCTATCACATGTGCCAGAGTGCCGTTATTTCTGCCTTATACATATCATCATTATCATTTCCACAGTTACTGATGAAACACCAAGGTCGGAAGCAAGCATTGCCAGTTTTAGCGAGATCTTGCAGCCAGCAGATTCAGGCCCCCTTCAGATGTCACCGAATACATCTAGACAGAGAGGTAGGAAGCCTCAAAGTGCTCTCTGGCAAAAGGGTTTTGATAACCTTGTTTTCATTTGATTTTCCTTTTATTTTCAACAGGAAGTTCATGTTTGTTATGTGGCCAGTTTTTTTAATATTTCCGGAATACATTCTCATCTTTGTGCCATAATAACCTTAACACAGTCATATCTGGCATATAAACATTAATCAACTAAAGTAATAAAAAAAAAGTATTATAGTTTTTCAGCTGGTAATTTTTTTTAATGTATCTGCAGAAGCCCTTTCTATACTAGATATGAACTATACATTTATTGGTAACTTTGTACATTATATATGTTTTCTAGCTGTCTCTTTCAGGCAGTTGTCACTTATGTGTAATACCTGTTTGCACCAGAAGGAGCTTGATAAATTATATGATGAAAGCAAAGAATCACTGTCATCTGTGAATTTCTGGGGCCAATGATGTAAGCAAAGAATCACTGTCATCTGTGAATTTCTGGAGCCCATGGTGAAAGCAATGAATCACTGTCATGTGTGAGTTTTTGGAGCCTATGATGAAAGCAAAGAATCACTGTCATCTGTGAGTTTCTGGAGCCCATGGTGAAAGCAATGAATCACTGTCATGTGTGAGTTTTTGGAGCCTATGATGAAAGCAAAGAATCACTGTCATCTGTGAGTTTCTGGAGCCAATGATGGAAGCAAGGAATCACTGTCATGTGTGAGTTTCTGGAGCCCATGGTGAAAGCAATGAATCACTGTCATCTGTGAGTTTTTGGAGCCTATGATGAAAGCAAAGAATCACTGTCATCTGTGAATTTCTGGAGCCCATGATGGAAGCAATGAATCACTGTCATGTGTGAGTTTTTGGAGCCTATGATGAAAGCAAAGAATCACTGTCATGTGTGAGTTTTTGGAGCCCATGATGAAAGCAAAGAATCACTGTCATGTGTGAGTTTCTGGAGCCAATGATGAAAGCAAAGAATCACTGTCATTTGGGGGTTTCTGGAACCCTTGATGCAAGCAGAGAATCACTGTTATCTCTGAAATACTGGAGCCTGTGATAGAAGCAATGAATCACTGTCATCTGTGAGTTTTTGGAGCCTATGATGAAAGCAAAGAATCACTGTCATGTGTGAGTTTTTGGAGCCCATGATGAAAGCAAAGAATCACTGTCATGTGTGAGTTTCTGGAGCCAATGATGAAAGCAAAGAATCACTGTCATTTGGGGGTTTCTGGAACCCTTGATGCAAGCAGAGAATCACTGTTATCTCTGAAATACTGGAGCCTGTGATAGAAGCAATGAATCACTGTCATCTGTGAGTTTCTGGAGCCCATGGTGGAAGCAAAGAGTAGTCACACTATGACCTACCATGCATGCCATAAGAGAAGACTAAGAAAAGTTGGCGTGAAGTTGGCTACTTCATCCCTTAGAGTACTGTAGCTGCAAGGTCCAGCCAACTATGATCAAAGGGTTTGTTGTCAGTTGTTTGAGGATTTGAGCTCCATTAGGAAGTGAAATAGAATAGAACAAGTCAAACTGAAAGCTATAAGAATTTAGGGTAAAAAACATTTGGGACAAGAAGAGTTAAGATGAAAAGAGATTGTAGTGTTTCAAGTTGGGATTGGTTAAAATTTTTATTGTTTGGTGAGGGGTTTGTTGGAAAGATAAGCTGTAGAACCTGGATCTGGTTTGTATTGGATTCAGTTCCTCTTATTTTCTACCTCAGTTCAACCTTGCATCATCAAATTAAGAGGTTATATCTAGTGAGAGTTGTCTTGTTACCCTCCCATGCCCATCAGTGTATAAACCTGTTGATATAAATCTGCTTCTGAGATTAAACCCATGTTTATGAGTACTGACTTTTATATGAAAAGCTTATGTCTGTATGCTTCTAACTGCAATAAATCTGCTTTATCAAAAGTCTACTGAATGATCCAGACCAGCTGGGATTTAACTACAGTGCTGTTTTATGCAAATCAGCATCAGTTTAATGCAGTGCATTTCATGTGACATACATATATATATCACATCAAGTAGACAGAGAAAGATGTGTTGAAAGCTCAGATGACCGATATGGTACGACAGTCATTATCACTGGTATCTGCTCTGTTTTTGACATCTTTAAGAATATATTGCCATCATTAAGACAAAGCCGTGGCAACTAATAAAAGCCTGAACAAAATATGGAACTCTAAATTAGATAGTTTTAAAACCAAGTTTTGTGTTTTTAATTGTAATGTTGTTTCAGTTTTAACATATGCCAGTGAAAGAGCTGGAGAACCATAGAAGACACGGAATGAAAGTTAGATTTGAAAACGGATGCCAACAGAAATTGATAAGCATTGGATTAAATAGATAGAATGAATTCATGAAAGGCGAAGAAATAAGAGAAATGTTTGAATAGGCACTAGTTTCGACAGTTAAATCATAAAAAAGCTGGCGCCCTATTGGGCACATCATGAGGAGAAGCAGACGGAGCATCACCAAGCAGGCACTGAAATCTTCTTTTTTTGCGTTAACTGGCAATAAACTCCAGCAAAAAAGTCTGGTTGTTCATCTGCCTCTGGCTTTTAGTCTTGTTCCAGAAATGAGGAAACAAAAACACCCAGGAGAATGTTGTTGAGAGAGGCCAAATGTGCTGGGGCTGGACTCCATCCATGATATCACAAGGATTAGGCTACGAGCCCCACATGACAATTAATGGTAAAACAGGATGGTGATAAATGCAGAACAACAAAGAAAGGAAAGACAACTGCAATGATGTTAGTTGTAAAGGGAGCCAAATGTGAGTTACACTGATCTGGATTTACTTCACTTCAGAAGCATATGTATGTGTGCGAGCGTGAGTGCATGCGTGCGCAAGAAAACTTCAGCTGTATTCATTGTTTTATACATTTATTCGTTATTTTAAAAAAAAAGTAATTTTCAGTTTGCCTCTCCAGCAGTCAGATAATTTGCATATGATTGGTTTCATATTTCTACAATTAATATTCTCTTTTTTATTGTTAATATTATTTGAATTTTTAAAGACTGATTATAACTTCTTCACAAAGAGAACTGATAGCCCACATCAGAACGAGACAATCTATGTTCTGTGGTCATGTGGGGGAGAAAACTGCAGTACATCGTGACATTAAGAAAGAGGGGAGGAGAGGCAGAGGGAGACGGAGAGAAAAGATGCTGGACAGTTTGACATATGGCATGGAAGACCATTTGTGTCAGAGTTGATTGAACAAACATGAGACCGAAAGTTGTGGATAGACATGACTACCAACACCACAGGGCATGGACTTTACGGAGGAATTATAACTTCAGCATATTCTTTCTAGTAGCCTGACACTTTTCATTGTGGCATAAATAAGTGTTGAGCAGCTGTCAAAACACCACAATCTGTAGAAATACAAATGTTCATGCCTCTTGGCACATGTTATGTTACGTTATCACAATCGACGTCACTGCACATTGGGCATTCCCATGCGTGCTCAGTCCTCCGATGCAGCAGCCACTCCAAAATTCTTATACTAATTGTTCCCATGAGAAGCTGGTTATTTTGTCTCTATCTCTGCCTCGAAGGCGTTCTTCACCATGTTTTACTCCCATGTCACGCAATCGTGTTAGTGTCTAGGATTCCTCATTATCCACTAGCCCAGTCCGTACAGCATTGACAGTATCTGCTCTGTCCATGCTTCTTCCCACATGCCTTAGTGCAGTGCTTGCCATTTGGTCCGCTCGCTCATTTTTTTTTACGCCCGCAAGACCAAGTGTGTAGATCCAGGTAAGGGGAGGTGAAGCGCGATTTTCAGTTGCTTTCTACCCATTTAGAACGCATTCCACCTGTTGCTATCTTCTGGAGTATGTTCATGGAGTCTGATACAATAACTGCCTGTGTGGCTGTTTGCTCGGATACCCATGCTAAAGCTCTAGAAGCAGCAGCAATTTCAATGGTCATGCTTGACGTGGTCGTATGGTAAGCGCCGCTGTTCTCCTGTATTGTTTTTCCCATTCTTTGTGTCGTGTATGCCCATGCTGACCTTGATCCACGCTTCATGGATCCAACTGTGTAGATGATGATATCTTCTGGTCTTCTGCTTAGAAATACAGAAACTATTTTCTGATAGTGGTTGCAGGAAAAGGTAATTTCTCTAAGTTTTTGCGGAAAGGGTAACTCTAAATAGTGTTTGCCTGAAGGGTAATCCTAACAGTAGTGCCAAGAAAGGTTTTTTTAACAGTGTTCCCAGGAATGGTTAATTCCTGACAGTGACTGCAGATCCAGTCATTCCTAAGAGCTGTCGCAGGAAGGGTAAAGGTGCACAGTTCTGTTTGATTTTTTCCGTCAACTGAAATATATTTACAGACACAGAAAATTACAAAACATTTATCGTCACATTTTCTTTCAAAAAACATATTTTTTATCTTGAAATGTTAACTTCATCTAAACCACAGCTTTACACGATTTGTTTATTGTTTTTAACAGTCTTTGTTGTGCATTTTGTGACAGTATTTACTACAAACATTCTAAGTCATTGGAACTTTTAGGATGAACATTTACATGTTATGTTTTACATTTTTTGTCTATGTCAAGTGTGCGCACTTCGAACAAGCACATGTTGATGAATCTCATGGTGACTTTATAATTGGGAAAATAATATTTAATGTCTACCTGTTTTAAAGACAAATCTATTTTTGATAATACTGCTTCAATAATTTCATGTTTATGTGGGTTTAAAACCATTTTTATTTTTGATTAAATTGCTTCAGTTGATTTATGTCCGCCTGTTTATAGAAACAATTTTATTTTTGATTAAATTACTTCAGTAGTTAAATGTCCATTTTAAAGATATTTTATTTTCATTAAATTACTTCTGTATTTGTAAAAAAAATATAATTTAAAAAAAATGTCTATAAATATTATTTTCAAGCCTCAGATAAATGTCTAGAATCTCATAACTTTATTTGGTTTGTTAACAGTATATTATGATAAAAATATATCCTTCTTCTTCTGAATTTATCTGAAGATG